GTGTGGTGTAGTGTGTGTGTGTGTGTGTGTGTGTGTGTGTGTGTGTGTGTGTGTGTGTGTGTGCGCGCGCATCTATACATTCATCAGTGTATGGACAGTGCAAGTAAAGAAAAAACATTGTGTGTGTGTGTTTTCAAGGACTCTGTCTGATCTCCAGGGTATTTAAAACATGTTCCTATTAGTGTGCAAAGATGAGAGGATATAGACGGCTTAATTTGCCGCATCAGGGGATCCACAATCTGCTTCTCTTTGTTTCACACCAGGCCTCGTAAAGAAACGTAATTGCAGTGTTATGGGCTATTTTAGCTGCCAGATCTCTAGTAAGTGGGTGGTCTGATTTTTGATTTGTGTGTGTCTGTCCTGATCAATGTTATGGATCCCATCTTTTGTACACGCAGCTGGCTGGAATTTGCATCCAGCTGAGCCATGGTGTGATCGTGTCTGTGTGTGTGTGCGCGTGTGTATGTATGTTTGTGAATTGATTATTTATAGTTGTTCCATTTATTCCCTCTGTGGATCACTGACAGGCTGTGGTAGTTGTGTTTGTGTCTCTTTGTTGTGTGTTTGTCTATCCTTTTCGGAAGCAGCTTGTCAAGACCTTGCTGTATTCAGACACACTTGTCCTCGGGGGCCGCGTGTAGAGCCTTCAATCTAGACACATATTGTATATATCTTTTTTTATTATAGAATATTTAGTGCAGCAGCCACTGATACATTTTTGTGTGTTCTTTCTTTAATGCTTTTAAATCAATTAATCGTTTATAGTATGGAACGTCAAATAGAAAACAGTAAGAAAATGCCCATCTCAATTTGCAAGACCCCTAAATGATGTCTTAAGATTTGTTGTTTGGTCTACCCTACAATGTGAAAAGATAAATATTACATTTACAATGGTATAAAACAGGGTAAAGCAAAATGTTTTCACACTTGTCAAACTGGAACCTACAAATGTTTGTCATAAATGGACTCTGGGTATATATAAACAAAACTTGTCTAATGGTTCTTGGCGTCAGTGAGGTCAACTGAGGGCAGAAAGCAGCGTCTGGCATAGTCTGAGTTCAGCCTACTATCACCTAAAGAACATATCTAGGATTAAAAGACTAATGTCACAGCAGGATTTGGAAAAACTTGTCCATGCTTTTATCTTCAGTAGACTCGACTACTGCAATGGTGTCTTTACAGGCCTCACTAAAAAATCTATTAGAAAGCTGCAGCTAATTCAGAACGCCGCTGCTCGAGTCCTCACTAACACTAAGAAAGTGGATCACATCACTCCTGTTCTGAAGTCCTTACACTGGCTTCCTGTGTGTCAAATAATAGATTTCAAAATACTGCTGCTGGTTTATAAAGCTTTGAATGGTTTAGGCCCAAAATACATGTCTGACCTCCTGCTAAATTATGAACCATCCAGATCTCTCAGGTCTTCAGGGACTGGTCTGCTTTCTGTCCCCAGAGTCAGAACTAAACATGGAGAAGCAGCGTTCAGTTATTATGCTCCAAATATCTGGAACAAACTCCCAGAAACCTGCAGGTCCACTACAACTCTTACTACTTTTAAATCCAGGCTGAAGACTTTTCTTTTTGCCGCTGCTTTTAATTGAACTATTCATATCTTAAACTGCACTGTAACTTTTATCCATGTATTTTTTTCTTTTAATGTTTATTTTATTATCTTTTCTTTTTAATGACTGATTTTAAATGCCATTTTCTTAATGTCTTCCATTTTTGTAAAGCACTTTGAATTGCCTTGTGTTGAAATGTGCTATATAAATAAACTTGCCTTGCCTTGCCTTGCCTTGAGTTGGACCAAGATTTTGTAAGAACGAGGGAGAGGTCGCACAAACCGGGTTGCAGTGATTGGCTTTGAGCAGCCATCAATCACAACTGTATTTAATTTCCATAAGGTACACTAGGTACACTACAATAGAGCAAGACTACAGAAGGAAGAGCTCCGTTGCAAGTATTTGGAAGGGCGAAAGTCACAAAAGTCTGTATGTTCATCCTCTAAGGACCAATATCGTGTGAACAAAATGTAGTTGCAATTTTATCCTAAGAGCTTAAATCAAACACACAAAAAACGCCAGGGATCAAAGTGTCTGTACAGTGTCAGAGTTCAACAGCAGAGACTGATTCTCCTGAGGCAGCAAACCCAGCAAGTGTGTGGTCAATGCAAGACAAAGTAAAGAAGAAACAAAAATGGTATTACTGTCCATAGGCCAACTCAAAATCCAGTATGACTGGGATGTTTATCTATACTGTAAGTGATGGTGAAAAATGAATCATCTCAATGGAGGATGGGCTGACAATTGCAAAAATGTTTCTGAAAAAGATTCTGGTAAAACAATGTGATACTTAACATGTCTTGCCTCTATTTAAACAATAACAAAGCCATACTGTATTTATTTATCTTTCTTTCTTTCTTTCTTTTTTTCTTCTATTTTAAATGTCAGCTGTCAAGTGTAACACCTGACATTCCTGACCTATAAATATAGCACACAAGAGACTGACAAAATTGAGTGTAAACAGAGAGAAAAGGCGAGAAGAATGACCCTCAACCCTTTTTACTATACAGCTGCAGCTCAGACAAAAACACACGCACACACACACACACACACACACACACACACACACACACACACACACACACACACACACACACACACACACACACAGAGTAAGGTCTCTAGTACACAGCCAATGCACTCCTCCTGCTCTTGCCATATCCACTTTATGTTAATAATTGGCTTAAACAGCGCTCCTGTGGGATCTGTGGTTTTTGATACATTAACCCCTGTGTCAAGGTCATCTCCAGTAATAAAAGGGACTCATCTGTCTGCAAGCTGCTTTCTATCTCGCACTGTCTATTATAAATTGGTCGGGGTTAGCATGCTGCTGCTGAATTGGCCTATTCTAATGTCTTTAATTCCTTCCTGGAAGACCTTAGTCAAAGATGCCTCAAGGCCTGAAAGGGAACCAAAAAATGCTGTTGTCAGCTCTGTGTGTACGCGCGCGTGTGTTTGTGCAACCCCATAACGACGTGTGGTGAAAGGATTATTGTCAGTGTTAGCGGTGGGTGTGGTTCTTAATGCATGCTTGAGAGGAAGCATGTGTGGACTGAAGATAGTACAGTAGGTTGTTTCGGAGTTGTGTGTGTACTGTATTTACTTCTTGAGTTACTGTGTAGTCTTTGTGATGTGCCCACTATCCCTGCAGCAGCTGGATGTGTTTGGGGATTTCTCTTGTGTTTTTATGACTCTATGCAGTGTGTGTGTCTTTGTTGCAGCGTCCCATAGGGAGGCTGTGGTGCGGTCTCAGAGTGTGCGGGGGAGTTGATTTGCATCCCCTGAAGATTAAACTGGGGGGGGGGTTTAGCATGTGTAGAGGTGGACCCAGTGTGCAATACTGCTGGCTCGCGGCTTTTTTCCACAGCTTAAAGTGATTACCCCCCCCACTGTGCATTGTACCTCTAAAAGCCCAAGATTAACAGTGTAGCCATGGGACAGATCTTCTGTTTTATGTACATTGCGTATACTCTTAAGTTCCCTCTACAATGTTTTCTCACTATGAATCAGCACTGCGGCACAAGCAAGTAAAAAGCGTCAGCCCTTTAACAGCTACATCTCATCTAATCAGCAGTTGTGCCTGCGAGGCTTTCCGTCGTTCTGCTTGTAATGAGTTGAGTTAGAAAGATCCCACATTGAAATACTCAGCCCCCATTCAGTTCAAAGATGTTCAGAGACAGTGGCTTCTCTTCTTAGACTCATCTAATCAGGGATTATTGTACAACTTGAATTTAAGGTGAAAGCAATTAACCGCAGTGAACTACCTGTCAGATGGAAAGCCCAGCAGAGTCCTGAGCAGCAGGATTAACCTCCTATGGTGACTTGTCTGCCAAAGTTTGCCACATCATCTCCTGTGGTCATACTTTCACAAGTTTTTTTTCTCAGAACTGTCCTTTTAATGCCTCATTACTCATTTCCCACATGTTCCTTTTAAATTAACAGCACCAACACAAGTGCTGTTGTTAATGCGTGAGCTTTGTCCTCAGGGCTTCTGTTTCAGATTACTGTTTGGTTCCACTCTATGACGTTGTGTGAATGTCTTGTTTGACTGTTATGAATCACACCCAATAATTTGTTCCATTCTGCTCTACCAGTCAGTCAAATCGATGGTTCATTTAAAAACTAGGTTGGATACATTTCCTCAATGCCTCTTCACACAGTCAGTGTCTGGAGAGCCTGAAGACTATACGTTTGAAAAAAGACATTTATGGCGATGTAGAGTTAGAAAGAAGTAATCTCTTTAGTCTGCTCCTCATCTCTGCCTGAGGCTAGAGGCTTGAGGCTTTATTAGCAGCTACTAGCAATACCCACTAATCTGTACAGTTGCATTGTAGGTCATTCAGGCACTAGGTTTTGATGATTTATGGAGTATTAAATATAATATCTCTGGCCCGACTGCATTAATAATTATGTTCATTGGAAATCAAACATGGTATAGAAGTATATACAGTATAGAAATAGTAGAAGGCTAAATTGTTGGAGTTCACTTTTATGAAACTGGTATAATTACTTCAACAAAAATTGGATTTACAACAATCACAGTATATCCTAATAGCACAGTAGATCCATTGTGAAATAAAAGTTTAAAATGTCGATAAGGTCATTATCCTAAGGGCAGACGACTGTTTTAATATCTACTTTAATGAAGCATAGGGTGTTTTTGAGTTCAAATTTCTTAAATAGATTATTATTTCACAGAACTGGCTGTCATGTGTATGTTTTCCATTATCACTCTTGAAATATAGTTTTCTACTTGGAATGGTCGTAATGTCAAAGCAGAGCCTGTCTACCCAGTGAATCAGAATGTCATGCTTAATCTGCACAGTGCATAAAAACATGATAATCACAATCAGTGACACCTATTTGACTAAATGTATGACGGTAAAGAACTGTGCCCCATTCATTGACGGTCTCTCTTCTTTTCCTATCTCCTTTCAGGATTCGTCCTCAGATGGCAAAGGAGAAGATCGAGGGCTGCCATGTTTGCACGCTGGTCACGCCTGGAGAACCCCAAGTCCTCCTGGGTAAAGATAAGGCCTTCACCTACGACTTTGTGCTCGACATCGACTCAGAGCAACAGGAGATCTACCAGGCCTGTGTTTACAAGCTCATCGAGGGCTGCTTCGAGGGCTACAACGCCACTGTGTTCGCTTACGGGCAGGTAAGACTCTGAGGCTTGGACTTTGATCTTAGGGATTTTTGTTGTAAATTGAGTTGCAAAGAAATACATTTTTGTGGTTATTTATTGTTATGAATTTAGGTTTTAATAAGCAAGAAGTAAAAAAAAATGGCATTTGAGCACAGTTCGTCTTAGTGGCCATTAGCCAGCTGGTGGGACACAAAGGGAAATATTTGCATGTATTGACATGCAAGGGTGGCCGGCCTGTCTCCCAAAACAAAGCACAGCAAAGCTCCAATTACAACACACACAAAAGGAGTGGGACTTCAATATCTACAGCAATATTAATGCACTGAATCCCATATATATATATATATATATACAATCTTTATGCACTGTATACATTATTTTGCAAACCTTTATTGGTTAGACATCTATGTGTCTAACCCTTATTAATTGGCAATGCTCACCATTATAACCCCAGACTAATGTCCTAGGTAGAACTTGGTTGGTTAAATAAAAACACCTAAGCCCTAACCCTTACAGTTGGTTGAAGTTGAATTATTTGTCAATATAAACAGGTTAATTTAAATAAATGTAGCGTTCAAGGTGTCTGGAGTACTTAATAAATGGGATCTCATTGGAGTTAATACATTGTGTTTCAGACGGGTTCGGGGAAGACATACACCATGGGGACGGGCTTCGATGTGAGCCTGGGCCAGAAGGAGCAGGGCATCATCACGCGGGCCGTTCACCATCTGTTTGAGGGAATCAGGATCCGGAGGCAGCGCGCACAGGAGGCCGGCAGCCAGCCGCCGGAGTTTAAAGTCAGCGCCCAGTTCCTAGAGGTAGGCCACACACACCCACACTGTAAAACATACTTGCTTGGTCACACATGTTAACAGTATTGATGCCCTTGTTTGCAAATGTGCATACGATGGACATTGGTCCACATTAACTCTAACCAGATGGGACAAAACAGGGAGACGAGAGGATCAGACCCCCTCTTCTATAAACAGGAAGTGACAACCCAATGACAGATGGGCAGGACTGTCTGCCTGTGCTTTTGTTAGTCCTGATTAATGTTGGCCATTACCTCTGACATTATTCCTCATCACTGTGGGCTGTAGGGGGGTTAAGAGCGGAGGATAAGAGCGAGGGAGGGATGCCTGTGTGGGAGTAATAAGATAATATGTCAAGTCATCATATCCTCCACAGGTTTCTGTCGGGCAAATGTTGTCTCGGTGGGAAACTGATTGTGTCTTATTCCTTTTAATACCCTTTCTGTTATAATAATTTAAATATACATTATCATTAGAACATCTACCTTTCTCTTCCTGTCTGTGCTCTCTGTTGGTAGTGTGTTTTTTGCTAATCCTCAGGTCACAAGGTTATCTTTGAATGTAAACAGGTGTGCATGTGTGTGTGTGTGTGAGTGTTTGTGTGTTTGTGTGTGTGTGTTTGTGTTAAGCAGTGGGGGGGACAGCTGAGCTTTCAGCTGACCTCTGTGGCCCTTGCCCTCTTTGGTTTCTGAGAGGTCAATCTTTTGACCTGTGTGTAAATAAGAAACACAGCTGTGAGAAAAGGAGAGGCGATGAGGAGAATGTTGACACTTTCTCATGAAATCATTATGTTTAATGGTTATGTTATGATTAATCAGAACATTGCCATAGCCTTATTTGTGTATAAATGGTATAATATTGTGTGTTGTGGCTTCTGTTTATTGCAGTTGTACAATGAAGAGGTGCTGGACCTGTTTGACGGAGGCAGAGATCCCGAAAGTCGGAACAGGAAGTCCGCCATTAAGATCCATGAAGACGCCAGCGGCAGCATCTACACCTCCGGAGTCACGTCCAGACTGGTGCACACAGAGGAGGAGGTTAGTGTGTGTGTGTGTGTATTTGTGTGTATTTGTGTGTGTGTATCCTCATGTCTAAATACAATCAGATATAATTTCACACATTTTAGGCTAAAGCTCAAACAGGTGCAGGCAAACATATTTGTTTTTATAAAATGGTAAACTTTAAGAGTTATGTATGTTCTGCTTCCCCAACATGTCTTCTTTCAGACCACTGTAAAGAAAATGACCAAAACACACTTAAATACCCTAGGACCAGGTGTTTATTTCTCTAGCTTTATGGAAAAAATGCTGGGTGCTGCAATAAGCTTTCTGTGATCATAAATAACTGATTTGCACTGCATTGCAAAGAGTTAACTGTGAAGATGTGAATAAATGCTGACTGTTTGAGGCAGATCGAGCTGCCAGAGATCTCTAGCACCCCGACATGAAGTCTGGCATGAACCAGCTGGTGGTCAGTCGTCAAAAACAAGAAACAGGTCGAGGATAATAAGGGAGGCCCAGCACTACCATGCTGCCTTTAGCCCCCATGAGGCTATGTTCTGTGAGCGATAGACCAGAGTATTCGAGGGTTGCTTTCTTGAGAAGTTGAGAGATATAAAGTGTGAGTTATATTTACTGAAAAGGGGAACAGATCATCAGTGACAGTGTGCAAGAAGGAGTATGTGATGGGGTCAAGAGGTCAGGATGAATGACTGTTAGCGGAGACGTGACAGAGAGGCTCACAGAGGTGGCAGGTAGAGATTAAGGAGGAAAGCTACAGCACTGTAAACGCTGTCTTAGACAACAAACTTATGGTATTATTCAATTTATGCTGAAAAGGTGCCGGAGTAGATAGAAATATGTGTTGTTTAATTGTATCCATCAATTGTTGTTAAATGGATGCAGAAAGAACAGGATAATAATGCTTGATCTGTGAGAGTTCATCCTCATTAAATTCCCCAAAAGACAACTGAGAGACAAGCAGAGACAGATGGGCTCTCCTGTGCATGGGAAGAGAGAAAATGTCTCTACAGGGGGAGGGAGGAGATGGAGTGTGGAGGTGATGGAGTGTGGGAAAAAGACAGACAGGTTGAGTGTAAAAAGGAGGCAAGGAGCGCTAATTGAAGGGAAACATATTGATGGTGGCAGCATTTTGAGTGGGTAGAAGTTGAAAGGTTCAAATAAAGAGTAAGACAATTGAAGTGAACCTAACAAATAGTTTCCCACCTCACTTAAATCAGCTTGGTGTAAAGTCAGAAATGAGCGAGTGATCAGTAATTGATATAGTCTCTTTCATCATAGATTTCTTTAGTTCAAAATAAAATTCCAAACCAAATGTCCTCCATATTTTCTTTGCTGCTATAGCTGCTGCAGTGCCTGAAGCTCGGCGCTCTGTCCCGCACCACGGCCAGCACCCAGATGAACGCCACAAGCTCTCGATCGCACGCCATCTTCACCATCTACCTCTGTCAGATGAGAGAGTGTCCGCCGGGTCTAACGGTGAGATACAGGGTTTTAGGGTAAAATGAAAGAATTAGCAAAACATTTATAAAAAACTATTAATTTAATATTACAGTAGCATTGAAGATGATAAAATAAATGATATTTTTTGTGTAAAACGCCCTCACTCATGAGCTCATTTCGAATGTTTTATGTCTGCTAGCAGAACGGAGGATCAGAGAACGGGGAGGTGAACGACGTGGACTCCGGCCCCATCACTCAGCCCGAGTTTGAGACGCTGATGGCCAAATTCCACTTTGTGGACCTAGCCGGCTCTGAGAGGCTGAAACGCACAGGAGCAACGGGAGAGAGAGCCCGCGAGGGAATCTCTATTAACTGTGGACTGGTGAGACAGAAAATCCTATAAAGTGTGTGTGTGTGTGTGTGTGTGTGTGTGTGTGTGTGTGTGTGTGTGTGTGTGTGTGTGTGTGTGTGTGTGTGTGTGTGTGTGTGTGTGTGTGTGTGTGTGTGTGTGTGTGTGTGTGTGTGTGTGTGATGTGTGTGTGGTGTGTGTGTGTGTGTGTGTGTGTGTGCTGTGTGTGTGTGTGTGTGTGTGTGTGTGTGTGTGTGTGTGTGTGTGTGTGTGTGTGTGTGTGATGTGTGTGTGTGTGTGTGTGTGTGTGGTGTGTGTGTGTGTGTGTGTGTGTGTGTGTGTTGTGTGTGTGTGTGTGTGTGTGTGTGTGTGTGTGTGTGTGTGTGTGTGTGTGTGTGTGTGTGTGTGTGTGTGTGTGTGTGTGTGTGTGTGTGTGTGTGTGTGTGTGTGTGTGTGTGTGTGTGTGTCAATTTGTAGAACGTGTGATAGGACACAAAGAGTTTGACAAAGCTTAGGTCAGCTTCTTTTACTCCCTGACTGTACTCAGATGTACAGATGATGTTGTTTCTTTGTGATTCATACATTTCAGTATATATAATCATTTATGAAACTAGTTTGTGATACATGTAAAGGATTTTGTTCTTGTTTGTGTTGTAGCTGGCCCTTGGAAATGTGATCAGTGCTTTAGGAGACCAGACTAAGAAGGGGGGACACGTCCCTTACCGAGACTCCAAACTCACTCGTCTGCTGCAGGACTCACTCGGCGGCAACAGGTACACACACACACAAATATACTGTGTATACAGAATAATAGTTAAAGTACAAATATATTGGAGAAAAATCCTCATCAAAAATCATATTTACGAATCATATAATTCTGAAATATAAGTTTAGGTTTGTGCTTCTGTAATGAACTAAGCCATTGGTGCTCTGTAGTCAATGAATCGAAGTTGGTTGGAAATGAACGTGAGTTATTGACAGAGTTTTTCTGAAGCTGCTATTGAGTTGTCAATGTTATGCCTGAGTATCTAAGGGGCTTTTGTTGTATTTATTCTCACAACAAGACATTTTTAACATTGCCATACTGTAAGTTGCCTTCTACATTTTTCTCCCATCACCAGTCGCACATTGATGATTGCCTGCGTCAGTCCGTCAGACCGGGACTTCATGGAGACACTGAACACACTGAAATACGCCAACCGTGCTCGAAACATCAAGAACAAGGTGGTGGTGAACCAGGACAAGACCAGCCAGCAGATCAGTGCCCTGCGAGCAGAGATCGCCCGGCTGCAGATGGAGCTGATGGAGTTCAAGGCGGTGAGAGATGGATGACGATAAGAAACGTTTATAAGACAGAAAACTTTGTGGGAGCGTTTGAATAATACAAAAAAAAGAATAAATACAAGGAGTAGCTCAGAGAAAAAAGATAAAAGGGGCCGAATGACAGAGATGCTGAATGAAGAGTAGCAGGTTGAAGAACAGGGCTGTCAGTGTGATGCAATGAGGCGGTAAGAGAGGGCTGACATGATGGATACAAATGTGAATAGTAATTGAGCAGAAAAAGAAAAAAGACAGCATTAATGGGAGTAAGTGAAGCTGGTATTGAAAGGCGAATAAGAAAAGCAGAGGCCATGTCTGCTGCAGCAGCTGTTTACTATCAAATTTAAGATATTTACTGGAACACACACATTCATTTATACCTTTACTACAGAGAATATGATGAAGATGAACCTGTGCAACATCAGCTTTTTCCAAACTAATGCAGAGATAAATTGATCATGTAGCTTAATGTGCCTGTGCTGACAAGCCCTGTCTAACATAGTTTACCTGATATAAACCAATATGCTGTGAGGAGACTGGAGAATGCTACTAGAAATTGTGACATGTAATAGGCCTGAAATTCAAAGAAAGTCTGCAAAATGTCACCGCTTTCTCATCAGCTTTGACCTCCGGGGCTAAAAGAAACAAACTAGGTTTTCAGTCTCTTATGCGATTAAGGGGGTTAATAGAAAGCCGTGAATGTGTGACTGCTGAGGGACTGCGAGCTGACCTCAGTGTGGTAATAAGGGATGAGAAGTGACTGGAGTCTGGAAGTAATGGAGTGTTGGATGGTGGATGTAATGATGTCTGCGAGCTGTGACTGGAGTACGAAGTCCCTCTCTGTTCCAACGGGATTTTTTTCAGTGTTCATCATTCATTTATTAGAATCTGTTTAGTTTTTCAGGTCCTGTTGTGTTCTCCTTAAAGGTCTCCTATTATGCAAAATCCACTTTTTCGCGTCTTTTACACATAAACATGTGTCCCCTCTGTGTAAAGAGATTCTGAAAGTTTCAGGAAAAAATATTTGCTCACTTTTTGTCCTGATACATTTATATAAAAACCTGTGTCTGAAAATGAGCTGATCAGATTTTGGCCACTTTATTATGTCATAACGATTTTTTGGCTTGTGTAACCATTAGCCAATAACCAACCAAGGTAACACCCCCCCACCTTATCACCTGGATCTCCTCCTAGAGCACCATTGTGTTCTTTTTAACCAAATATCTCAGAGGGGCGTGGGGAGTGGCTCCTTATTTTCATCTAAAGTAACAGACCCAGAATCAGCACTTTTGAAACAGGGCTGAAACAGAGGGGTTTATGGGATGCTACAATGCACGATCTGTTTGGTATTTCGAGCCAAACACTTCAGAGACATGTTTTGTATATATCTGAGATCTATAATATATTGATGAAAAACAGTATAATAGGGGACCTTTAAAATGGGTGTGGTTTTCGGTGTGATTGTTCTCCATGCTGACGGTTTTCTTCTCTGTGCAGGGGAAGCGTGTGGCGGGGGAGGACGGTTCAGAGGGCTACAGCGACCTGTGTCAGGAGAACGCCATGCTGCAGAGAGAGAGCGACACACTGCGCCTCAGGGTGAAGGCCATGCAGGAGACCATCGACCATCTCAACACCCGCGTCACACATCTGCTGACCAATGAGGTCAGCTCTCTGCTGACCAAGTCAGGTACGTGAGAAGGATGCCTGACTGCTTTGGATGATTTTACACCACATGTAAACCTTTTTCTTCTAAATTCAACATCTTCAATTTTGCTTTCCTTATGCTTTTGACTTTTAGGTGAGGGCACTGAGGAGATCGGGGCTCTGATCCACAAATACATCCGAGAGGTTGAAGAACTTAGGTAAGCTGCAAAATGAAAAATATTTTTAACCAGACTTATGAAGCTCTTGATTTTTAAAGAAATATTCAAATTTTTGGGGAAATATGCCTTCATACATCGTCCATCTTGCCACAACAAATGGAAGGAGTTCATGTTCAGTTGTATTTTCTGTATTGTAATTGTCTGTGTAGTGAAATATCATAGTTTCTCAACACATAACTTTATTTTGAAAAGCAGAAAATATGCAAAGGCAATAATTTGTTATTTATTTTTCAAAAAGTTTCAGGCTAAAAATCAGGATCAATGGCTTTATTGGTTTCAATGACTTCAGTTTGACTGTTTCCCCCCGTTCTTTAGAGAGAAATTCTGCATGACCAATTGTGTTTTCTCCCTCTCTCATCCTGCTCCGTCAGAACCAAGCTCCTTGAGAGCGAGGCCATGAACGAGTCGTTGCGACGGCACACGGCCCGACTCTCCACTCGCTCCCCGTTCACTTCCTCCACTCACAGCCCGGCCCCCGGCCACCCACCTGGATCCTCCCCTGCTCCTTTGTCCATGGAGGCTGAGCTGACAGACGTGTTACGACGGGCCAAAATGGACATCGAGAAGTTGAAGAAGAAAGAGAGGAGGCAGAGGAGAACGAGGTGAGGGAGGCATTTAAGATATTAAGACATAATTCCTAAAAAAAAAACGTTTTACAATTGAAACAAACGAGACACAAATAACAGATCAGGAAGCCTTCACAGACTTTCAGGAATCTCTTTTATCCTCATACATCCAAACACCACAGTTTAAAGTTTGAAAATGTAATTTATCATTAGTTCCTCTTAGCCCTTGTCAATGAACTTATGCATGGTTTAAAAGCCAAGCGGGCATGATGAGTACATTATTGTAGTCATACTCTCCTCATTGTTTTTCTCATCTAGCTTAAGAGCCACATCACAAGACGATTAGTGCTTTGGGAGGGCCAGCCTCTGAAAAGAATTGAGTTGCAGCCAGTGCTGAGTTGTACTGCTGGCTGGAAAAAAGTCTAATTCAGTCGGCCAGTGGGTCATGAGAGAAGAGCACACAGCCTCACAGGCTAATTGAGGTTCAACGGAATAGAGAGGGAGGAGGACGGGAATTTAGAGATGGGACGGGTGATAAGAGGCACGGCTGTAAAAAAAGGACCAAAGGGGAGAATCAAATTGGCAATAAAAGTTTAAGACTTAAGTGGCAATATGTGTGTATGATGAGCTGAGAAAGACATCAGCTAATGACATAAAATGTCACCTTGAGCAGATCACTTAATCAAAGCTTTAATGGTGGTTCCCTGAAAGAGTGGTGTAATGAAATGGAGAGATTGTCAACAAAAATAATTTCATGATGCAAAATGTATTGACAGATGATGCTATTTGTGTGTTTTCCTCATGTGGCCTAAACAACGATGATTTTCTCCTCAATTAGTCCCGAGTTGGAGAAAGGTATGAAGAAACGAGTCAAACTGCACACCCACGAGAATGGAGAGAATGGGCAGAGTGGGCATAACGGACAAAACGGACAAAATGGAGAGATCGATTCTGACGACAATTACGTCGAGGTAAGGGACTCGCGTTGGCGTTCGTACAAGTTCAAAAACAAAACAAATGGAACAAAGTCTGACGTATCTGTGTGTTTCTGTTTGCAGGATGTCATGTCTCCACTGCAGGAGGAGAGTGGGTGTGAAGAAGATGAGGGGGAGGATGAAGAGGAAGGCAGGGAGGAGGAGAACGGGTTTGACAGTGACGAGAGCCAGGTGGATTCAGACTCCGACTCTGAAGAGAAAGGTGTGTTTCATCCGCCGTAACAAAAGGAACAAACTTCTTCTCCCTTTTGTCTTCTGTTTTCAGCCATGGGAAATTCTGGATGTTTGTTGGTCAATATCTAACAAATATAATATGACATACCATGACATGTTTTACATACATTCATGGTGCCCAGAGGATGAATCACACATAACTTCTGTGATCCCTGAAGATGTTTCCAGACCTAATTTTCAGATGAATCGGTGCAAAGGTGTTGCACATAAAATGTTAATGCCTAGATCATGCCTCAGAATAACTCATGAGATCTTCTGACTTGTCCTCGAGTGCTATCAGCTTGTGTCGATACATTTTTTTAAATTGTTTATGAACACATACTTATACTACTACTAACTAATACTGATACAGACTTTTTTTTTTTAAATGTATCAGATACCCATCAACCTAAGGTGTATTTTGTATACGGTCTCTCTAAGAGCTGCTATTTCTGTTATGTGCAATGTCTTGTCTTTTATGCTGCTGCAAGGCAAAGAATTGAAGTACATCTTATCTTATCTTATCTTAGCACGCCCTTATACCAAATGTGTCCTATTCGACATTAACTTTATTCACTTTTGACAGTAAGGACAGTAAAAAAACTTCTCATGGTGTAGAGCTGAATTTGATTGTACAGTGTTATGGACAGTTTCTTAAAGAAATGCAACACATGAATCATGCAATATCTAATGTAATTAAGAATTAAGTCAAGACATTCATCTGGGCTGTTTTTCCCTGCTATTTATTTCATTACCCTCAAAATGTTTTTATTTGAACTTCTCATTTAGCTCTACTTTGTACCCCGCCTGATTTTCCTTTCCATCCTGCAGCCAACTTCCAGGCGGACCTGGCTGATCTGACCTGCGAGATCGAGATCAAACAGAAGCTGATAGACGAGCTGGAGAACAGCCAGCGGAGGCTGCTGATGCTGAAGCTGCAGTACGAGGAGAAGCTCATCCTCCTCCAGAACAAGATCAAAGACACTCAGCAGGAGAGGGACCGCGTACTGCAGAATCTCAGTGAGTTCATTCATCATAGCATTTTTTATTCACACAAAGTTGTGGAGTTTTTTTATCTTTAGAAAAAAGCATCCTGACAAAATCCATTAACATTTTTGCATGGCTACACAGTGTCCATGGAGAACTACACGGAGGAGAAGGCCAGCCGGGTCAAGCAGGAATACGAGAAACGTCTTAAGGAGATGAACCGAGACCTGCTGAAGCTGCAGGTGGCACAGAAAGAGCATGCTCGTCTCCTGAAAAACCAGAGCAGGTACGAACGGGAGCTGAAGAAACTCCAGACAGAGGTCAACGACATGAAGAAAGCCAAGGTGACGCTGATGAAGCAGATGAAGGAGGAGCAGCAGAGGAGGAGGATGGTGGAGGCGAAGAGGAACCGTGAGATCGCCCAACTGAAGAAGGAGCAGCGCAGACAAGAGGTCGGACTGCAGGCTGTGTTTGTTTAGGACTGATATATCCAACAAAATACTCTCTAAGTACTACCAGAGCTGCAATTACTATTTTTATAATCAATTAATTGTTTAAGTTAATTGGCAGAACATTTCGTTCTCAGAATCGCATCCTGCTTTTTCTCTGTTTTATACAGCCTATGATTAATGTATAAAACAGAGAAAAAACTAAATATGAATTCATTGATAAGAAAAATTATAATTTGTTGTAGCGCTAAACACTAAAATAATTTGAGATATTTAGCACATGCATCAACATATTTTCTTGGGTGCTCATCTCCCTCTAATTTCTAATACAGAAATATAATCATTAGGTCACTTGTGAGATAGGTGAGCAATGTTCTATATGAGTTTAATTAACATTTCAGCTGCTGTCCACATGGTCCAAATTCTAATTTCACGACTGTATTTAAAGAATGACTCATTCTGATAAGTTGGTGTGTATTGCTTGCATTGAGGTTCTCCTTCTGTTTGACAGGATGGCACTTTAAAATACTGATTAATTTATTATGTACATATTGCACACAGATTTTTTGGTTTGGCTTTCCTTTTTTTGAAGATAAGCATACACACCAAATGAAATCCCCTGTGTATTTATTTTCCCTGGAGGGGAGGGCTAATTAACAAGCATGGGAACATTTACACAGTCATCCAGTGTCTCATCATAATCCTTTTATTTCGGATTTCGTCCCTAAATCCTCTAATGATCAACACTTAGTAAGCCTGTTTTGCAAAACACAGTCAGCTCAGGAATCTAATTAACATTTGATGAAGTGTGAATACAAAAGTATTAAATAACTGTTTCCCTCCGATCTCTCCTTCAGTACCAGATCCGAGCGCTGGAGTCTCAGAAGCGGCAGCAGGAGCAGGTTCTGCGCAGGAAGACTCAGGAGGTGACGGCTCTGAGGCGCCTGGCCAAACCCATGTCAGACCGCGTGGCCGGGCGCGTGGCCCGCTGGAACCAGTCTCCCCAAATTTCGGACTCTGGAGCTGAATTATCGGCCAGCACCACAGCAAGCAGCTCTGAGCCTGACACCGGGAGGTCTGTGAGCGGGATGGTGAAACAATGGAACAACAAAAACAGCGTGATTGGATATCTGGCCGAGAGTGAGGGGAGCATGGACGGAACCAGAGTCATTGGGTAAGAAATGCCTATACTTTACTGGTGATGTGTTAACACTGTCTTTTTAGTGGATATTTTAATGATAATTGTTGGGATAAAATGCGAAAGGAGTAAATTGTACTGGAGCTGTACTTGACCTTATAAAGCATTTTATTGAGTGTCAGCTCATTGTCAAGCTCTAGGAGCATTTAGAAAGAGGGATATCTCCTCAGGTGGATGCAAACACACAACTCCTAATATACGTTTATGTCACTCTGTTAATGCTGGATGTGTAAATGAGCAACCGTTTGCTGAAAGGTTCCCCATATCAACTGAAAAGTGATGATAAGTAAGTGGCTTAAAATGTGTTTCCCATATGGCCCAAAATTGAATGAAAGGTCTCAATGAAAGTTATTATTGATTTCTTCCTTGTCAGATGACTAATGACTGATGTTTGTGATAGCCCTTTTACCTCCTTATCCTTTTTTCCTCTTGTAACTCTTACCTCTACTCAATTCTTTCCAATTGCATCAGTCAAATCTTATGTTTCTCCTCTCTTCTGTCTTGTCTCTTCCCAGCAGCAGGAAGAAGTTGCAGCGTAAGCCAGCAGGCCCTGGCAGCGCTGCAGCGGCGGGCAGAGTGAGCAGTTTCTCCAAGTCTGCCCGGCTGAAGTGGCAAACACTGGAGCGTCGCATTATGGACATCGTCATGCAGAGAATGACAATCTCTAACGTGGAAGCTGACATGGATCGCCTTATCAAGGTAGGAATGGCATTCAGATTTCTACTCTTGATTAAGGTCTGTTATAAGTACGGCTCTGACTTTCCTCTGTGTGTTTTTGATGAGTCAGAAGCGGGAGGAGCTGACGGTCCAGCAGGAATCACTCTCCCATAAGAGGGAGGTACTGATGGCAGACGGCGAGGGTCCAGAGGCAGAGGACCGCCTCCTCCTGGAAATTAACGAAGATATCGAGGTGCTGAACGCCAACATAGACTACATCAATGACAGCCTGTCTGACTGCCAGGCCACCATCGTACAGATAGAAGAGACCAAGGTACGAACACAGACAATCACACACATACACACATATACAAACAGTAATATTTGCTGTGGAAATGACAGGAGTCTTATATTAATGGCGAGGGCTGTGTTTTCCTGCAGGATGAGCTGGACTCAGTGGACACCTCAGTGGTGATCAGCTCTTGCTCTCTGGCTGAAGCGCGCAACCTCCTGGACCACTTCCTGAAGGCTTCCATAGATAAAGTGAGTTATCATTCAGAGCCTGGTTTGCAGGTCCACAAACGTTTGTAAAAATCAATCCTGTTGAAACACCTTAAATCTGTGGTGAGGTGTGAAAGAACATATGAAGCTTGAACATACATACAGATTAAATCACAAGATAACATATTGTGTTTTCTATACAGTTAAACAGTTATACTATATAAACTAGTATAAACTATACATCATATCACGCCATTGGTTAAAATGCAATCATGTAATGTATATTTATTGATGTTTCAATGTCCGGATGTGAGTGGTGTAGGAGCATTGAATTATGGACTGTGGTGCCATCTAGTGGTGTCTCTTTTTACTGCAGGATGTTGTCAGGGATGTGGTACAAATAAATTACTAATCCCCCTTCAGAGGGTTACAAGTTAACACTGTTGTACTACAAGGTTTAATAATACATTCATAATGTTCACATTTGAATTCTGACTCAATATGCATGCTGCCTTTTTTTTTGCATGTCTATTCATTTTGTTTAAAAAAGGAACTTTTCTTGTTGTATGAGAATTAGCTGGTCTTAAAGTTGTGTTGCAGTGTGTATGTGTGTATGTGTGTGTGCATTATCATTTCTGATATTTTTGGTCATTGTGTGCTTGCAGAGTTTACACGTGGCTCAGAAGGAGGCTCAGATCCGGCTGCTGGAGGGTCAGCTGAGACAGTCAGATGTGATCGGCTCGTCTCACAATCACATAATCCTTGATGCCCTGAGAGAAAAGGCAGAATACATCCCTGAACTCCAGGCTCTTATTGCCAATGTACAGCTGGGTGAGTGTGTCCTTTAATCGATGGATCAAAAAACAAACTTTTTCCACAAAGATTCATGGAAAAACACTAAAGAAATCTTAGTCAACTAAGACTGATACAACACACTAAGTGGGGATGGCACTAGTGTTAAGGACTGTGTGGGATTGTGAAGACTTCATTATTTATGTTCCCTTGCTTTAATCGGCTTTAGAGGATATATTAAACTAAATGCAGTGAAATTGAAACATATGGTAGTGGATTAGGGTGGGTCATAAAGAGACTGGTAGTTATGTAAGGTGTGCTGGGGACTGACAGGTTGTATGTTTTCTGCGCTTCCAGAAAATGGTTATGCGAGCACAGACGAGGAGCCGTCTGAGTTCAGCCAAGCCTCTGACATCAGGTGAGACTGCGGTCACCATTACAAAAATAATCCTCTCACTTTGACCCAATTTTAAGAAACATCGACCTCAATGTGCTGTCGTTTGCTTTAATATGTAAACAAAACATGTACTCCATTCTCATATCTCTCAGTATCCATGTATATGTAACTCTCCTTTCCTTCTGCAGTGTATATCGCATGAAAGAATCCAACAGCCAAGATGATATCAAAATAAAGGTACAGCTGATTTGACTTTGAAGTGCATCAGTTGTTATTCAGCTGTTTTAGATGTTTCAGATTCAAATCCAGATGTTAATATTACTTCCATATTTAACATCGTGGAATAGCTCGATCTTTGTTGTGCTAAACACATGTGGGACTATCCAAGCCGGTCAGACCTTTATAAATATGACACTGCATTTTGTCAGATAACGTCAGTGTTAATGATTGTGTTGGACCCTTGCTTTACTTTACCGTCAACACATATTTTATAGTTATCCTGTTGAGATGCTGCCATGTCTGTGTGTAACCACGAGGTGGCAGTATGGGCAAACAATACAAAATGTTTTTCACTTCTTGAAGCTTGGTTTTATATTCTGAGAAGGAACCCCTGATTTGACACAAATCCCTCTTATCCTCATGTTAATGCTGTGTTCTCTATAGTTTATTGTTTCTATAAGTAGTTTTTCTCTTTGCAGCTTTCTTTGAACCCACAAAGATTTATAGAGTTATTGTTTTTTTGTATTCTTCCCTTTTTCCCTGTTGAATGATATTCTATGCATTTTCTCCTGTGCCTTGATTTTATTACATTTTATATTTTTATTGTGTTATTCAGTTGTTCAAATCGCACTGTTCTCTTTGCTTGTATCATTCTCCCACCTATGGTCCTCTGTAACGCATACGGTGCCCATTTCCCCCCAGATGGAGCCTCGTCTGTCAGTTCAGATGAAGGCGGTGTCAGCGGAGTATTTGGGGCCCATCCTGGACCCCTCCTCGAGCAGCAAGCACCAGTTCATCACCAAGTCCCTGGCCTCGCTGACGGACATCCAGGAGGACGGCCTGTGCCTCGGGTCAGCGAGTCTGGGTCTCAGCCTCGCCCTACGAGACCCCTACCACAGGGAGCGGGCCACCCGCACAAACAGCCTACCTGTCAGGGGACACACCTTGTAAGTCAATCTTAACGATCGCTGAGATGAAACAAGGGCAGGTTAAGGCAGACTTATTTATATACTGTACATGCCTATTATGAACACAGACATTCAAAGTGCTAACACTGGCAGAGAAAAGCATTAGGAACGACATAAAACAAAATTGGCAATTAAAACTAAGTTGAAACGAAAATAAAATGACATGGAAATGAAATAAGATACAAATGGAATAGACCATAAACTCGCTTATAGTGCAGTTATAAGTCGTTAGTTGCCTCAAATGCAACAAAGTAATTAAAAGGGAAATGAAGAAACCGATCAATCAAAGGCACAGGAGAACAACCAAACAGGAGAAGAGGTTACGAGTTTTTCATGTCGATTTAAAGACACATCCCTTAAGTGTAACCAAGCAGTTGTTGATGGCATGGTTCAATGTAGGATTATTAAAACACCTCTATATGGATGAACCAATAGCCGTATTACCATTTATCAATTACATGAAACTAAGCCATTACTTTCAGCTAACTATTTAAACTCAATTCAATATATCTTATAGCTTTTCCACAATTGTTTTACATTTATCCATAACATTTAACTAACTATTTCAACCCTTTATTAATTACCTTTAGTGTTTTTAGTGCTAAGGTATCACAGCTGACTTAGTATTTAGATATTTATCACAATGAGTTCGATTTGTCTGTAGTGTTTTGTCAAAACAACATTTAAAGTTGGCCCTTTACAGGGTGTCCACGGGGTCTTAAAAAGTATTAAAAATCAATTTAGCGAAAATTAAGGCTATCAAAAAGTATTAAACGGCATTTTCCAAGGTATTACATTTTGTAGCTTGTTTTCAATAAGTATATAAATTGTCCACAGAGGTTGTATTCTACAGTGTGCCTGAATGTAATCATTGCGTGGGTGTGTAGTGTGATTCTGTGTAGTTTATTTATGGCATCCCGTTGGATTTGACGTAATCTGAACAGGACATCGCACGCTCACTGCTTGATAGCGCGCGAAGGTCCATTTACGCCGGTTGTTAAACAACATCGTTATGGGGAAATGCAAGTTTGCAGGATTCTTACTTATTGTGCCTTTAATCAAATCATGAACTACATTTTTTTTCCACTTAGTTTAGCTTCTGTACCACCTCTGTAGCGCCTGGCACCTGCAGATGTACACCCTGGGGAACACACACCCTTTGGTTGTGTATCACTGGGGCCCTGATGTTATAGTCTTCTTCAAATAGAGAAGCTTATCTGTTATCCCCATGATGGTAAACATTTGTTCTGCTGAAGTGCCCTTTAGCACTTCCCTTTAGCAAGAGCAGAGTCATGAAGTGTTGATGACGTGGGTTGAACGGGAACATTTGCGACTATTTAAAAATAAAACCTGTTGCTTAGATAGACTAACAAGTGTGATAGAAACATGATGATAATTGCATAACCATACACCCTGTGGGATATCACAACACAACAAAAACATCTTTTCATCACATTTTATTTCCTGACAAAGTTGTCAAGAACTTTTATGTCTTTCCTGCAGTTCACTTCCAAGTTAACAGCCGCTGGAAACCTGCCAGAGGCCTGACAGTTTTAGGTTATGAATCTGCTTCAGGGAGAGAAAGGGAAAAGCCAATGAAATTAGCATCAGTCCTCTGGGATGGGAAGCCTGAGTGTGTGTGATTTAATTTTTGAAGGAATTAGTCTGCAAGTTGCTTTAGTCTGCTAGAAATGCTGTTAACATGCATTAACCCTTTTTGCTTATTGATTCCTTTTAGATGTGTATCACCCTCCTGTGCACTCCCTTAAAGATTGCTTAGTATGCTTTTGTGTGTGTGTGTGTCAGTCCCAGGCAGTCTCGTGGTTATGACACTTCCCCTCTAACAAGGAGGAAATCTTACGACCGCTCGTACAGGTACATGCACTGTGATGCTCAAATTTAAGCTATTCTGTTGGCAGATTTGTCTAATCTTTTGACTGTGTAATGTAATTCACATACTCCTTCATTCTTAACTCTTCTTGTTCTTCCTTCCTTAACTGTCCTCCCCCCCTGCTCCTTATCAGGCCCACTGACGGCTACACTCCCCCCTCCTCCCCTCCTCTGAGGTCCAGGAACGAGCGCAACGTCTTCTCCCGGCTCACCAGCAACCAAACCCAAGGTTCTGCTTTGGACAAGTGAGTGCACTCTAGCAGATACATACATTCACACAATGCTTTTGTCCTTTTGTCCCTGCGTTCTCATCTGATCAGTTCAGTGTTACTTTAAAACCACTTTCTATTCTTTTTTTTTCTCCTCTTCCATGGTTTGAGATCTTCACATATTGTCAGAAGGTCAGGCCTTTTGAGAGGAAACGGCTTTTGTCCGGTGTGTAGATGTTCTTCTTAAGAATGTGCTATTTTCCAAATGTTTATTCTCCGATGAATTCCACTCCTCGACATAATGCTTTTGGCATGAATGTATTTCCTGGAAGGAGAGATGGGGCAAACATTCACAGAATCCAGGTGTTCAATGACTCAGAAGATAAGACCACATCAAACCACATCCACAGGCTACATTTAGCAACACTACCAACACGGTGTAATTGCAGTGTTTTTCCACTCCATTTATAGGAGTTACTAGGAAACAAATGCAAATTAGGAGGGAAGCAGCTAAGATGGTAACATCCTCTGTAAGAGCAAACTGTCAGGGCAGTATTGCAAAAAAACGGTTTATTGCGTAGTGTGCCTGTTTACAGGATTTGTGATTTGCATGATAATGATGTGCATATTGGCATTTGGACAAGACAAAGATAAATCATTTTGAACAGTAAATAAAAAAACTGCCCTGTAGTAAATCTTATCTCATAATATTCAGGGTTTGTGGACACTGTGGGACCGAGGGAATTGGATTAAAATGTATGATAATCTTTTAGGCTTTACATAGAGTTGGTGACGAATTGGCCTGTTAATCCTATTTCTATTTATAGAGGTTAAAATAATTGTAGATGCATGTTAATATCAGCCGCAAATAAGTCTGGAGTGAGCAACCGGCCTTTTCCCTTCCTGCTTACAATCAATTCCAGCTTTCCGCTCTGATAAATGTCAGCAGTTAATTTCAGTCAGCGTTTGGCTCTGCTCTAAAGGTGTTTGCTTTGTAATCTTTATTAATACAGAACATTTCTAAGCTTTATTGATCCATAATTGTTTAGGGAATTGCTGTGTGAAATAAGGTAGGGGTTGTGTTTGTGTGTTCGCTGCATCTGTGAATGTGTGTGTGTGTAGGAGCGACATGTCCTCATTATCTGGAGCAGGGGTAGGTAAATGAGTCAGCTGTTGTCATCTTCCCATGCAGCTGTTGTGATTGGAAGCCATTTTGAATTAACTCAAGGTGGCAGTGTGGGAGGATATTAATGTTTAGGGTCGCGTTTGTAGTTATCACAGGAAAGGCCTTCCTATAGTGAGCATGATGTAGGAGGATGAAAGGTCTTTTCCCGTTTCCTCTTTTGTGTAAGGGAGCATTTGCATTGTTGCATTCTGGTGGCAGGTATTCACACCATTTTCTCATTTGCATGCTTTTCTTTAAAGGTGTCCTATCATGCAACATGCACTTTTGCATGATAGCATGATAGGAGATCTTTAAGTGTTGTGTGGAGGGATCTATTTACTGATTTTAACGCTGGATATATATATATATATATATGTATGTATATATTTTATTTTTGTTGCCAGAAATTTAAATAATTTAAACCATTATTTATTTTTTGCTTTCAATTTCTTTACATTACTGACACTGACCGTGTGATGATGACAAACTTCATTATCTCAAGTATTCATTCAAAGCTATATTGAGCCAATCTCTTCAATTTCTTAATAAACAGAAATCCAGTCGGAATTCTGTGTAATTTGGGGTCAAATTAGTCATTGTGATGTTCACAAGTGAATCTTTGCCAGCACAGAAATCAAACATTAAAATGTTTTTGTGATGTTGGGGAGCATTCTGCCTCGGTTTTTCGACCGTATAATATGTGAGGAGATTGGCTGCCTAGGAGACATGGATCAGGCATTTGACACAGATTTGAAAGACACATTAGAATGAGGAAAATTAATTTCAAACCAAGTTTTCATGTTGTCTGATGGATAAACAGGCTTTGCATCCCAGAGCCATTTTTTAATCTTCGCATTACATTTGCATCTTCTGAAAACAATGAATTTTAAAAGGATTTTATCTTGAGAGTCTGTAAGAAAAGCTGATGCTATCACTATGCTAATAAATACTGTGGCCAGCCGTGAATACCAAGAGATGGAGGAATTTTAATCACCTTTTAACACTGTTGTTCCCTCCAGACACATCCACAACCATTTAGTTTTATTATTTCATGCTCAGAGTGTAAAGCACAGCAGGCTCTCATGGTGACAAACATGAGGCTATAAAATATTTACAATATAATAACACTTTTATTGCACGGTTACACACAGTGGAGGTACTGTATTGGTGTGGTCTGAACTCATTCCCTGGACAGCTTTAAACAGAGCCTCCTAGATTTCCCCTTCTGTTAACCCTGTTTGCGGTTCCTTATGTTCTTTTCTGCACTAATCCCCTGTATATGTCTGGAAGGAGTAGATATGTTAGTAGACACTGTTGTTACGGAAGTCATATATTATGGCTGCATATATGTAAGAAATGTATGTGCAGTTTGTTGACCTCCTGTATGACTACCTTGGCATCAGTGTTTCCTGCTTGACTACTTCCTTCTTTCTTTCAGTACCTCTTCTCTACCTTGTTCAAATAAATGATTTAACTTTTAAATTTGTACTATCTTGCCGAGAGTTGGATGTAAATGTGAGTGTACAGTAGGCTAAGTTAGCTTAGCAGAAAGACATGGTAACAGAGAAATGGCTAACTTAGCTTTGCCGCAGATAACAAAATCCAGCTGCTAGCTTTTCTAAAGCTAAAAAATAAACACACATGTCTTTATTTGTTAAACCACTAATTGTTGTTTACAAACATTGCATTTTGAACTAAAAGAAAATACAATATTTTTAGTTATGAGCTTTAGAGTTGCTAGTAGCCAGATTTTATAACAATCAGAAAGAGTCATGCTTGTTTCCTTTTTATGCTAAGCTAAGCTAACCTGCTGCTGGGTGTAACTGTAGACTGAACTATCAGACTTAAGAGTGGTACCAATTGTCTCATCTAACTCTTGTCAAGGAAGAGAATAAGCGAAAAGTCTTAACATTTCCTTTAAACATTTAACTTTTAATGCTAACACAACTAGGGAAAACTCCCCTTAACCAGCCATTGTTGTGGGTTTACTTACAGTAAACATGCTTAACCAAGGAAAACATCTGCAGACAGCGGTCAAGAATAAAGCCTGTTCAGTGGTTTTAATTGGAAAGAAGCATGTCATGGCAAACCAACCCAGTCTTACGGCATTTCGTGTTATAGTCACGAAATTAATTTAATCTATTGATTCGTGTCACACAGAACGATTTTAAATGCAATGTATTTCTATTGGTAGTATGTTTCGTGCCTGCAACACGTCTTTTTGTCCGGTCGGGTCTTGGAAGACCAGAAGCTGTGTGGTTCATAAAAACATGTTCTTACTCAATATCTTACCCTAAGTCTAACCCTATCCCTTTTATTTTAAATTGTATAATGTCTGAGTTTTTTTGCCGTCAGTGAGGAAAATAAATGTGGCTCAGAGCCTCAGAATACTGAAATCTGTATTTTATGTCATCTTTTTTTCCTTCTAATTTGTTATTATTTGGTGCAGGCACGAAACATACTACCAATATAAATACATTGCTTCTAAAATCGTTCTGTGTCAGAATACTTAAATCTGTATTTTTTTAAATGTCTTTTTCCTTCTAATTTGTTATTATTTACATTGCTTTTAAAATCGTTCTGTGTGACACGAAAAAAATGGCGAAATCGTGTTGGTGAACATGAATCAATAGATTAATTTCGTGACTATAACACGAAATGCCGTGAGACTGTGTTGGGCAAACTGCCTGTTAATCACTGGACAAGCTTTGTTTTCTGACAGATTTTTCCTGCCAGTTTGCTCACTGCTTTTATATCTAAACCCCTTCCTCCAGTCACTCCTCCCTTTTAACCCTTTGCCAGTAACCCTTCTGTCTTTCCTTAGTGTGGTTAACCCTTTCCTCTTCCTGCCCCTTCCTCCCCTCTCCTGCTCCTCTTCTGCCTCCAGGTCGGATGACAGCGACTCCTCGCTCTCCGAGGTGCTCAGGTAGAGGAACTGTGTTTGTCACTCTCTGTATTTCCCGTTTGCCTGTTAACTCACCTGGTGTCGTCTCGTCTCCACCGGTAATCAGTACCTCCTTTTCCTCCTTTCCGGTCGAGGTGGCTGTGGTGCATGTTCTAACCACATGCAGCTCTCTTGACCCACCGGCCTCTTCCCACCTGTGATGTTGGGTTGCTCTGTAATGTTGCTCGCACACAAGACCCGAATGAACCTTACCACTTTTCAGCAGGCTGAAGCAGGAAAAAAGTAAATACAAAAATGTAGAATTTATTTTTAAAGAAGCATCTTGAAATGAATCCAGACATTTTGTCATTCCTTTGAGACAAATATAATACAATGATTTAGTAATGGTAAACGCAAGGTTTCCTCTTCTTCTCTTTCTGGTAAATCTATTTCTGTGCATTGATGCTCCTCTCACCAAGGCTGTCTGTTTTTCTGTGTATTTCAAAGAGCACAGTATGAGATCCCTCCATGTTTTCATTAGTCTGCCGGTCTCTTGGTGCTTGGCCCTGCAACAGCCATTAGCAGCCCTCACATTGCACATTACGCAGCACACTATGATATCTTCCACAGACGCTGATAAAATTGGAACACTTTCTGCCGTTTGGACCAGAGCCATGTTGTGAAATAGAGTGCTGCATTAGGCAATACTATAATATGGACCGTTTAAAGTATGTATACTGTGTAGAGAAAAACAGAAGATAAACGATTTAAAAAGTATTCAAAATAATGCAACATAATGGTTTATCGGGAAGGTGAACAAAGTACTTGTAATTTGTTTATTAGTAAGGGCTCTGGTTCAATACAATAACATAAGCAAAATTATGTTTTATTCATTTAAAAGTTAAATGAGTCATAGCTTCACACTTGTTTTAACCAATGAGGATAGAGCATAAGCACTTTCTTAATCTTACATAATGATAGCATTACCAGCCTTAAGAGTGATAAAGTTCATTCAAATAAAGCTAAACCTAAAATTATTCTTCTTCTACAAAAATCATCATTCCCTTCTCCTTTTGAATCATTTAAAAAAAAAAATCCACATTTTGTTTTTAAATTAACTGAATGAACATAAATCTGCGAAATCACATAAATCAACAGACTCATACTCAGCAGAGCGGAGCAAACATACTTTGGGATGCTGATTACCAATCACTTATAGAGTGTCTTGATCATTGGTTGTTGGGATCATTTTGGGACATCTCTAGTCACATGTTTGGTTTCCCCCTCTTATGTTATCAAATAAATACCTGTGTTCTATCGTCAGTCTTTACTAAATGAAATTGGACCAAAATGAGGGTGGGACAGATCGATGCGATGTTCCAATAATTCTATACACCTGCCATCACAGTCACTGTTTGCAGCTCTGCAGAGGAGCAGAATCTAATAATCTGACTATGATATCGACTTGATACATCTCTGCACCCTCATGTACCACATACTCTTTTCCCCGAGGCTCTAAAAGGCAAATGGTTGTGGAGTTGCTGAACTGAGTCAGTTACCAACTGACTTGTGGAGAATGAATGCTGCATGTGGTGATGGTGACATCTCACGCCATTGTGCTGTGGTTTATTTTGAGTTGCAGGCTGCTATGTAGTTGGTTTCCCAGGCTGTGGCTGTTGTCAACAATTGTTTTCGAGTTTATTCTACACAAGTTGGTTTTCTTTTGTTTGTGAGTTTTGGCAGACATGCATGCAATCTTTTTTCATTGGCTGATGAATGACAGTGTTTTATTTTGGTTGGCATTTGCAATGTTAGGTAAGATACGCAGGCAGTATGGTTTAATATTTAATTTTGTTGTTGTGTGTGTGTGTGCTGTCACGCTGGGACATCAGCGTATATGTGCAGGCACAGATGAGGAGCATGTTGCCATATTTGACAAGTTTCAAGCACACCCTTCTGCCTCGAGTTCTGTGTGTATTCACAGATTCTCTTTTTCCTCCTCACATCCTCCGGCTTTTCCTCACTGTTTTACTCTCTACCTTACCCTCTCACACAGATATGCACTCACATACACACTAACCACCACTGGTGTTATTAGGAAGCCCACCGGGGACCAATTTTCCCACATTCCTCCCTCTTGTTCTTCTCACCCTCTGCCTGCTGTCTCACTCCGCTGACTGCTCTCCAGGCACTCTCTCGTCTGTCAGTGGGACATCGATTTGGGGGTGAGAGGAGGGCAGAGGTTCAGCTAGAGAAAGGGAATGCACATATAACAGAGGGGAGGTTGTGTGTGTTTTTATGCATGTATGTCTTGGTGTGTGTGTGTGCGTGTAAGTGTAAGGGAGAGGGGGAGACAGAAAGACAGGAAGAAAAGCCGCTCTTACTGCTCTATTGCCTTAATTGGGCTTGTCTACAACACAAGCAGAAAGGGTGATTCAATGGAGCAGGTGGGATAAAATAAACAACAACAGGAATTTGAGTGATTGTATTTGTGTATAGAGTGTGGATCATCTTTGTTTTTTCAGTATGGGTTGGTATTGTCTCTGTATAATAGAATGAATGTTTGTGTTTTTGTGTGCATGTTCGTAATCTGTCTGTGATTTACATAAATGCTCATGTAGATATATGGAACGAAATCTCCCTCACTGATTCATACTGACAAGACTGTGACATCAAATGCGTGTGTGCATTTTAGGGGTGTGATCAATCCCATTGGGGGTGTGAAGGGGGGTCGGACGGCGCCCCTGCAGTGTGTCTCTGTAGCCGAGGGCCATTCAAAGCCCGTCCTGTGTGTGGATGCTACTGATGAGCTGCTATTCACTGGATCTAAAGGTACACATACTGAACTTTACTAAACTGTATAAATACTTTTTTAAAGATCTTTTAAATGGATATTATTTGCGTTGAAGAAAATAACAAGATAACTTAAGTGTTGTCATATGAAAACAAATACAGCGCTTTAAGATTAGATCAGCATTTTGGAAAATACCACCCTCAAGACAGTAATTGAACATCCCTTCTCTTGTCCTGCAGATCGCACCTGTAAGATGTGGAACCTGGTAACGGGTCAAGAGATCGTCACCCTCAAAGGCCACCCAAACAACGTAGTGTCCATCAAATATAGTCCTTCCTCCTGTTTAGTCTTCTCCGTCTCCACCTCCTACATCAAGGTGTGGGACATCCGAGACTCTGCCAAGTGTGTCCGCACGCTCACGTAAGTTTCCTCCCCGCAACCAGCCAGATGAAACTGTATAATATTTCATAGAAGTGATTTAAGGATAGGATGCTTCTTCAGTTCAGTGATGTGTTTCAATATGCAAAAAAGTGGCAAATTAAATTTAGAGAAATATGATATGAAACGCCTCAAGCTGAATTGACTAATTGGAAGTTCTGCTCAGTACACTTGTCTCTGTTCCCATTTATTTCTCCACCTCATGTCCCACTTATACTCTTCTCTTTACCCCCACAGTTCGTCTGGGCAGGTGGTCTCAGGGGATGCCTGTGCGGGCACCACCACCCGCACGATCACCTTTGCACAGGGCGAGTGTCAGATTAACCAGATTGCCCTGAACCCGTCAGGATCCGTGCTCTACGCTGCTGCTGGGAACACTGTTCGCATGTGGGACCTCAACAGGTACATTTATTAATCGACGCATAGGTTCATTTATTTATGTAACTATTCCTCTAAGTGTTTGTTTAAGTATTAAGTCAGTCACGTGTGTTCATCAATTCCTCCACTGATGTTTGTGTTAGTCATCCAAAATGAATTAGTTCAGTCAGCTTCGTGACAGCCAGCTCTTAATTCTTGTAGACGTGAATGTATATATTCGCTTGTCAGATGTTAATCAACCAAAGAGCCGATTCATTCTTGAGTTTAAGAATGCTGTCAACAGAAAGTGCATGAACTCAGCGCTGGTATATACATGAGTATGTTTTCTACAATGCAGCCAGTGAAATCCAGCTACATCCCAGTCTTCCCCTTAGTTTTTATGCATCCAGAGGGAAATGATTAACAGATTGGACGAGACAGTTTACGCTGAGGGGCTCAGACCCACCTAATGATGCAAAACAACCCCCAGAAATGAAAAATGAATGTTTTAAACAGTCTGCCTATGGCATCGCTGCGTCTCAGCAGTTTTACCCCACCCGAGAGACGGAAAGTGATTTCATACGGTGAAACCTTGAAAATCAGATTCTTGTAAGTAATGAATTTCACAGCCCTTTGCCTCACCTCCTTTACGCGTGTGTGTATTTGTGTGTGTGTGTGTGTAGGATGCAAGGGATGGGGAAGCTGATGGGCCACATCGGCTCTGTCATCTGTCTGACAGTGGGACAGTCTCTAATGGGCAAAGATCAAGTAATCACTGGCTCCAAGGACCATTATGTCAAGGTACCACAGACACACACTAATACATAGACACACACATATTCACACACTCTCAGATTTTCAGACCATACCTGAGTGTCACAGATGCAGATTTACATCTTTTAATATCCCCTTTCCCTGTTCTCTCTACAGGTGTTTGACGTGACAGAGGGAACTATGGGTAATATAGGTCCAGCTCACAACTTTGAGCCTCCCCATTATGACGGCATCGAGTGTTTGGCTGTTCAGGGAGATGTGCTGTTCAGTGGGTCCAGAGACAACGGCATCAAGAAATGGGATCTGGGAGAACAGGAACTCACTCAGGTGTGTGTGTGTGTGTGTCAGAGTGTATTTGCCTGCATGTGTACACTGTGTTTTTAGTTAGATTTATGTTTCCACGATGAAGAAGAGTCTTTTAAAGCCTGAAACTCGTCTTTTACCAGCCGGAAACATAGCAAAACTTGCTAAGAATTACCTAAAAGGAAGGCTGCATGTGTTGTATGCTCCTACACAGTCAGTGAGGTAAGAGGGGTTGAGTAAAGCGGGAATCAGAAGGATTTTATATGCATGTAGAGTTCACACATCAAAGTTTAACACCCTGGCTGTGCTTCAGTGCCGCTCCTGACGCTACGTGCCAAGAGCCCAGAGTCCATCGTTCTCTGCCATTAATTCATGATCTTTTGACCCTTATCAGCTTGTGAGCGAAGCCAGCCTTTCCATATGCTGCACGTAGAGCAACAGATAGAGGGCCAACACAGTATAAAAAGAGCTTTGAGAGATTATTTTGGGATTCCTATCCCCCAAAACAACACAAAGTACAGATGAGACTAATGAGCATGTAGTATAGCACATTTTGACCTAAAGGTGGCGCTAGAAGGAGAGTCAGAAAAACAGTTTATGGTGTCGGGGACATGAATGTGGTAATCCATCCAATAGTTTGTGATTTATTTCTGACGGACTGACATTGCCATTGATTAAATGAAGGGCTAATAAATGAACAAAAACTGTTTGTTGCAACCCTATTGTAGACATTGGATATTTCTAAAAAGTCACTCTCATAACAGTGCAACCAATATTCAAAGCCTTGCCGCAGCAGCCCAGCGTTTGACTGCCAACCATCGCCCTTTGTAGCATGTCACCCCCTCTCTCTCCTGCTATACTATCATTAAAAGAGGACAGACACCCTGAGTTTTGCCCATACAGCCCCTGTTGAGATTGTATTGTACCTGTTATCTGACACTTGCGTGACAGATCAAAACTGTGCTGTCTGTTGAGCCTCTGGTTGGTGGACAGCTCCCTTCATGTCTCCCAACATAGACCGTTCCCTCTGTGGAGAAAGTCAATAGAGTGCCGTCATGTGCAATGTGGCAGGCATGCAGTGAGTCAACATCAGGGCGTTAGAGCCCACCCGCATCAGATCGACAGGTACCGGAGAGGAAAGTCATTGTGTGTAAGTGTGTGTGTGTATGAGTGTCTCTTTGTATGAATGTGTTTACTGCTGCGCTGTCTCTGGTGTATCTTCTGTTCCCGCTGCATATGTTAATAATGCATAATAATGCACCTTGTGAGTGGATGTGGCTTACTCATTTGCATGCACCATAATATGCATATTAAGAAGCACTTTCTTGTTGTTTGCATGAGTTCTATTTAGCCTTTGTTTATCCAAACAGAGAAATTGAGCACATAAGACATTAGTATTTCCATTCAAAGGCTGAATAAAACAACTCAGTGGGTGCTGTGGTCTGCGGCAGATGACTTTAACCTCATTTGTGAATCAGCCAACACAATCCATTTTACAGCCTCTCTAACACAGTAGTCTCAGTCTAATTATGTAATAGGATCAAATTGTGGCTTGGGGTACAATATAATATATTAGTCAGTGGACTCTGCCTCCTCCAGGATTGCTGCTGCAAGCTGTTCTGCTCCGACCCCCCTGCTAAAATTCATACTCCATAGGGTGTTCTTTTGGAGGAATAAGAGAAGCAATTTGTTTATACAGTAATTACTCTACAATCTACTCTCCTCTACTGAAGTTTAGTGATTCCCTGTTGCTTGATAAATAGTATAACTTTGAACATTCACTGTGTTTGGCTTATGCAACAGTTGCTGCAGTGTGGTGTTGCTCTCTGTGAGGTGTTGGATAGCAGTAACACATTTTTACCCACTGGTGTAAAGTTGTTACAGATGGCGGGTTGGATGTATTATATATTATATACAGTATGAGCACTTATTCTTTATTTTTGGAGTTGTTATTCCCTTTCTTAAACCTCCCCAAAATCAGTGGATTCAGGGGCAAGGAGAGGAATTGCCCTCCTAAGGTTTCCTCTACAGTATTTAACATTTTTGTTAATGAATAATCTCTAATTTCTCAAAAAGTCTTTGGACTTCAGGTCCCAACTCTGCTGTCTGCCGTATTTAGGGAGTTATCAGCCGACATAAAGGGAGCATCGAATCGATTATACTGGAATGGGGCTATTTTCAAACCCATTTAATATTTATATTCAACTAGTTTATGCATATGTATCAACATTTACATTAATTTTCATGACAAGGAGGAAACACAGAAAATGTTTAATTTATAAGAGAAAATAAAAAGTACTCCTAAATAAACAAAATGCACATAAATGAACCTCATTGAACATAGCATTCTGTAATAACTTATGCTTGATTAAGTTTCTATGAAACAGCCAACCTGCTGAGATAAGACGATGAATAAAAGACGACCCATTATGAATTTTCTGGCTGATGGCTTTGACATATGAGAGATTAAAAAATCTGATAACAATATATCAGCCAATATTGTTTTTTTCCATGGTGAAGCTACTGCTTCTAAATTACTTACAATTTTGCTTTTCTGTACTGATGTTTCTTTTGTAATAGTGAGTTACTCAAACTTTAAAACTAATCAAGGTCTGCAGGAAATGAAGAAAATATGCAATTACGTTTTTTGATTATCACAATAACGATGTAACTTGCTAGACATCAAAAAATAATACATTTGACTCAGTTATGTCGTTCTGCAGCTTTTCTGTATTTTTTATAACACAAAACACTGCTTGTTAAATAAAAAATAAAAAAACGATTGGATATTTCTACAAATAAAGAAATACGGAGATACAGAGTGCACGTTAACATTGCAATGACAATAATAAAAGACATTGTGCAGCCCTATTACTAACATATTATTGACCAACTAATATCAGAGTATATAGTGTATTTATATCAACCCAGCCTGCATCAGTCTAGCTCTAAAGAGTGAACGAGTGAGAGTAAATGGCTAAGAAATCTTTGTTTTCTGCTAACAGGAAGGCCACATAAACTTCAAAACAGTTGAATGCAGTGAATCCGTTCTCTGCCAAAGGACACAAACATAACCTTTAAAAACTTTAAGTGGACTTTTGTGTAAGCAGCATCAATCTAAGTATTCATTCCACCACTGCTGCCCATGTTTAGTAACCAATTATTCTTCCATCTTTTATCCATTTGTATCCGTTTGCTGTTTCTGTGTCTGAATGGATACTTTCTAAATGGAAAGCAGGAGAATGGGTTGCCTCAATCAGTACTTCTCATTTTGTATGTTGAACCAGACATTGTTAAGAGTCAAGCTGTGTTTAAAATACACCTTTGTATATAGAGTTGCTCTAAAATCTAAATGATATGGTTAATTTCAAATTATAGCCATTTGGATAATGTCACACAGTATTATAATCTTTCTTGACCCTTGACTATTTCTCCGTAACAAAAATGTTGGAGCTGTGTTTCAAGGTGAAATACCTTCAGTTCAATGATATTCATTTATTTTCTTTTTCCTCTGAAAGTTAAAGAGGAACGCATGTATTTAGGTGTGTCCGTCTTGTGTTTAGATCACAAGAAATGGGGCTTAAATAGACCTGAGTTTAACGTCATAGATATAGAGGAGAGCAACTGCAGTAGGGTGAAGAAATCAACATAAAAACAAATTAGTATTTTTGTACCTGATGGAAACATCAATGGAAAGGAACTTGGAGTGTTATTTTGGCTAATTTCAAAATGCAAATTGAAAATAATTAATGTGAGAAGCAAATCAAACACAACATGAACAAGTAGACAAATGTTTTATCACCATGTGTTCCTCGCTTTAGAGCTAAATGAATCCGCAGCCCAGTTGGATGAGATAAATTAATAAAAAAAACAGCTAAAGCCAAAGTTTGTTAAAGCTCTGTGAAAAACACAATTTGAAGAGACTGATTATGTGTAACATCCAATCTCTGCAGTGCTGTGTGATCACAGACATGGTTCAGTCTGTTCTTTACTTTCTCTTTAACCAATACAGAAATGCGTGATAAAAAGTGAAATGTTTGTTCAGAAGCTATGTGTCAGAGGTTTTGTCAGTGTGTTACAGTTTGTTCCTCGCAGGATGAGTTTAGAGACGAGCGGAAGGAATAATTAATCCCCTCAATGGCAGAAAATAGTACTGTTTGAATCTCTTAAAGGTCATATAGAGATTAGGTCGGCCCATCGGGTGGGAATTACTCATAAATTAACCTTTACACTTGCTCTGCACTTTTAAATGAAGACAATTGCAACGCTTCCTAACACTTTAAGACTGTCCTCAAGTGCACATTTAACTGTCTTTTTAAAGTGATTTCTCCAATAGCTTTATGAAATAGTGTTTCTATCCAAACCCAAGACAGATGTATCCATTTCCAGTTTATGAATCTTGTTTGAAGCCATTGTAAAATACTCAACGAGCAGACACCTGAGCTAAGAATAACTGCGGTACTGTGTCTAAATACAGTATTAATTAGTTTGTTGCCTAGCAACGACATGCATTGTTTCTGCAAGAATACCCAACTGTACTGACAATAGTTTACATGAAAAAATGAACATTGCTGTTATTTTAAGAACAAAAGAACCAGATGACTAACACTCCTGTAGTTTTGATATAAAAACCGTAGATGTAAGATCATGATCTCTGTCTGACTTCATGTCTCTGCTTTGACTCCACAGCAAGTCCCCAACGCCCATAAGGACTGGGTCTGCGCTCTGGCTTATGTCCCGGGTCGGCCCATGCTGCTGAGCGCCTGTCGGGGGGGCATGATGAAGGTGTGGAACGTAGACAACTTTACCCCCATAGGAGAGATCAAAGGTCACGACAGCCCCATCAATGCCATCTGTACCAACTCCAGACAGATCTTCACTGCGTCCAGGTAGGAAGAGTTATGTGTACTGCAACACCACTGATCCAGAAATGTTTTTTTATTGCAACAGTGTAAAATAGAAGTGCTGGTATCTGTGGTATTCTTCACATTTTATTTTATATATAATATATTTTTCGAGGATTTTCAATTCAATCCCAGAAAAGACCAAACCAAAAATGCACTGATTCAGTAGCAAGTCTTGCCTGCCTAATTAATCATAGAGCTGGATGAAAAGCATTATTTATCTGCTGCTTTAAATAATCACTAGAGCACCTGTTTTATTGACATTTGCTCAAATAACAGTTTTTTGGGAATCATTTAGCCTTTAAAAAATATTAAACATGTCTGAATTAAGTCATTTAAGATTCAAATCATCAGTAGGATCAAGTATGCTCGTAGCAGAAGGCCAAGGATACGGCATTCAAAAAGTATTGAAAGATGAACCAAGGCATCCTTATTTTTTCTGGAATATATTGACAATAGCAAACATATATATATATATATAATGCCAGCCTTATCAGAAGGGAGGTTGGATAGTTTGAAGGTTGAACATAATGAGAGAGAAAATGTGAGTGAAATACCAGATTATGATTCATTCTCTTTTCATCTCAAGCATCTCATCTGCAGTGGGTGTGTGTCAGCGTCTGTAGCTCAGAGAGGGTCAAGCTACATCCTGTTTTTCTCTAAAATGTGTGTTTTTTAATGGTTGCATCAGACTGTGTTCAAGGTTGCTGACTGTGTGTGTGTCTGAGTGGGACATCCTGTGTTCATCCTTCTTTTCAGCTGGTGGGCTTTCACTGAAGATTACTCATTTTTAATTCCCTCGTCTTCTATCGGTCTTTTGCCCTTCTGAATCACTGTATCACCTCTCTTTGCTCTTCTGTAATCTTTACACATATTTCCTCTTGTTCCTGCTTAAACTCTGCCTTCCCACCCCTCCTGTTGTCCACCTTCCTCCTCATCTTCCTCCTCCTCCTCCTCCTCCTCCTCCACCCCAGTGACTGCAGGGTGAAGCTGTGGAACTATGTGCCAGGTTTGACCCCATGTCTTCCTCGCCGGGTCCTGGCCATCAAGGGCCGAGCCACCAGCCTCCCATGACTGCTTCACCAACCCTCCCTTCCTCTGGTACTCTCTTAACTAATGTCCACCCTTTTTCTTTACCTTTTCTGGTAGCTCCTGTCCTGTTTTATCCTTCTTTTCATTTTTGTTCCAATTCTTCTATCATTCTTTTCTTTGTCTGATTGTTGTTGTTTTTTTAACCTGCTGCCGCTTACCGTTTTTATTTTTAAACTTATACTGTGTTTGTTTTCATGCAGATCATTGCCTCCTCTAAGACAAACAGTTTATCAGAGATTGAACAAGTGACTCACAGTGCTGTTCAGAATATAACAAACTCTAGTCTGCTGCACCTGTTATACTCTTTTGGAATATGTCAGAGTTAGAGGAGAAGATGGATACCGCTTTCAAGTCTGGCTTATAATATAAGCACCAAACACTTATCCTAGCATATAGACTGAACACGGGGGAAATAGCTAATCTGGCTAGCTGGAATTAGCCAGTCCAGCATGTAACCCCCCATAAAAAGCAATTTACACTACAGTTTTCATTGGATTTAACTAAATTAGACATATTTCTCGATGCTAAGCTAACTGGCTACAGCTTCTTATTTATCGTTCAGACACAACAATATAAGGATAATTTGAATGTTATTATTGCGAGTTGCGCAACAAAATGTTACAGTTGCGGCTTTCACACCAGCGCTTTTCCCTTTCTAGCTCCTAGCGAGAGCTTTTCTGGTTCAGCTCCGGTTTCCCTTTTCAGCTCCCGCTCTGTTCACACTGCCCAGAGCTGCTGCTGCTGCGTCATGACGTCACAGTTTACGTCGCTGATTTTCTCCCACAACAACAACGGGCCGGGGACTGCGTCGGGTCGATGATCGTGTTGCTTTTAATCATACGAAGCCAGATTAAATTAAATAACGACTTCTCCAACCTTATACTTTTCTCCAGAGTGCCGTGGTTCATTGTTTATTAATGTGTTTCAGCGGCATTTACCGACCGCTGCAGTGCTGGCTGCTCTTCCACGGGAGTTTATTCTCCCGTTAGCTCCGGGTTAGCTCACACGGCTCTAAAGTATTCACTGTCTGACTGTCACACAAGCAGCTGATACATATCCCCAGTTCCCCTTAAGTGAATGTGTGTCAGTCTGAATTGACGCTGTTTGGCATCACAACGCTGTTATGAAAGTTTCTCTGGTATAACATGGGTGATGTTAGCATAGCAACCGAAGCTAAACTGACTACTTGCTAAGCCGTTTTCTACAGGCACATTTTACCGGCGTATTTTTCATTATGATTCTACTTGTGATAGTCGGACATGACAACCTGTACAGCCCATGTATCTCCACAATGATCAATAACAGCGAACGGATGGTCAAAGTAAGGTTTCCTTCACGCCTCGACGTAAGCGACGCCGCGTCATAGCTCCGAAGCTCTTGCCTCTGGACCGACAATTTTTTGGAGCTGGAAGTGAACCGCATTCCTGAGCTATGACGCGCCGCCGCTGCGGTGTGAACAGGGAAAAGCGCCGGTGTGAAAGGGGCAAGTGTGGCAGTTTATGCTACACAAGAAAACACGACAAAACAAAAACAGTAGATAATTCCTGTAGTGCATTTTTTAATATCAGTCATTTATTTGTATTTGTGTCAGTAAAATGTAAACAGCAACAATAATGTGAATTCTGACAAACTTTTTGATGGCATACTATACTGTACTCTGCTTATTTTATGGCATCTATGACTTTTATATTAGATTTAAATGACAATAATATTTAATGAATTATGTGTGTGTGTTTGTTTGGGCATATGTGTGTGTGAAGTGCACTTTAAGGCTGATTTGATTGTGCTGTGTCTGATGCATACTTGATTGTTTTCAAAGTCAAGACTGCCTGACTGATGCTCTGTTATTTTCTCCATTTGTTTTGTTCCCCTTGCATCCCTTTGCTCATCCTCAAAACCTCTTTTGTCTCTCTTTAGTGACACGACAGTGAAGATCTGGTCGTCAAAGGTGTGGAGGAAGAGGTGACAGTCCTGAGTGGTTCCTTTGTCGGCCATCTTGCTGCAACTTCAGCCCCTGATCTGTGACCTGCTCATTGAGCTGTGAAGCTGAAAACGCCATTTCCAAGGCAATCAAGGTTTTTTGTTCCTTGTCAAGGTGCAAATTGAACCGAGACAGAAGATTCTTTCAAAGGCATAAAAGTATTTGCCTTTCAGATTGTGAAAGTGCCATTCAGGTGTGATGCTACTTGGGCAATAAAAACTGCATCACTCGGAAAGAAGAATTTCTCTCTTGTGACAAAAAAACAACCACAGCCTGTTGTTAAAAAGAAAGAGCCCTTCTGTCCTCTCACCAAGGTCTCAGAGTCCTTGTGGAACAGTGACACATGCATTTGCTCAGAGATGTATTTTTTGTGTCCGAAGGTTATAGATTAAAATCGCCAAATAACGATTTTGGACACCCTTTCCTGCTTTCCTCCATTCAGGACTGTGAGTGTTGTAACTGTTCTGAACACACTGGAGAGTCATGTTTCTGATCTTGAATAACTGGAAAATGACATTAAACCACCACTGGATGTTATGTTTTCAAAACCGGAAACACCCTCAAGGCGCTCTCTGTCACTGAAACTTTGTTGTGTTTTACAAGTCTTGTACAATTTTTTTTTTAATGACTTTTACTAATTTATTATTTTCCCTCCTTCAGTTGTTAAGGTAGAATGGAACATTTTTACGGGTCTCTGTACAAACACCTGGTGCTTGACATTTTGAAGTTTTTATTTCATGCTTGGCTCTTCATCGTTTGGATGTGTCCTCTGTGGCCTCCCTGGCTATAAGACTGTCTAACTGCTGACCCTGCAAACAGGAAAGCACACCTCCAGTAGCACAACTAAGGTAACACTGGCCCTGGAGGATCCCACCAGATTGTAATATCTGCTCTACCAAGTGCTAACTTTGGCAAAAATCAAAATCCTCCCTGCAGATGCACATGACACAGACAACACAAACCTACAGCACACACTCCGAAGACATGAGGCCAAAGTGCCAGATCATTATCTCGACCATGGTACAGTATGTGTCCCTTACCTGCCATTTATCCTCCACACAATTGGTAATATAGCAGCCCTATCAGTTCCCCCCCGCCTGCTTTCTGCTCCGCTCTGATCTTCAAGGTTAGTGACCGTATCAGACTGACCAGCCTTTACTGAGAAGTGCACCTCTTTCCCAGCTACTGAACCTCTCTGGGAAGCCAATTTAATTAGAGGTCTGGCAACTCTACCGACTGCTTTTCAGGCAAGATTACTTGGGGGAAAGTAGGTCATAACTGAGAAGGATTTATTTTTTAAATCCCAATTTTCTTCCACCCACACTTTGCTGCTACATATAAGGAACAGGAAAAAACGTCCTGTACTGGTGCACTGGAATCTGTTTATGTGGCAGATTATGTGTGCACACAAACTGATGACACACACAGACACGAGTTCAGTGGATGTTTCGCTTATCCATCTTGTCTGATGGGTCTTGGCGTCCCTCACTGTGTCTCTTTAATGAAACAGATTCAGCAATGCACTGACACAAAACATATGCTCATACATACATACACACTCTAACAGGCAACAGTGATTCAATTATGTTTTGTTCTGATTACAGAAAATTGCATCTGCATAACTTTCAGTTAATGAACTTAGGCCTTTTTTGTATACGTTCAAAATGACATGCAGAATTAAAACCTACGGCTTGATAAATCCCAATTTGTTTTTTAGTAACATGTCAAAGCACAGTTGTTCTAAAATCTTACTCCTTCTGTTGAAAGACATATTTTTCATTTAGGCAATTAATGAACTTTTTTTTTTTCATAAACCCAGATATATATGTATTCTAATTAAACAACAGCTGCTGAAAATAGTTATTACTGTCAAAACATCCTCTATGAATTTTCCTCCAAAAGGAGACCGCACCGCTGGTGGTTGATGTAGCCAACATCAGTTTGAAGCTGCTTTCCTTTTCCAAAAAGCAATGACTTGGGTTTTGTTATTATATTGTGGGAAGGGCGGGGTTATTGAAGTGAATGCAAATGTGTGGATGGGGGTGATCTGTGGAAGCGTTCCTGGAATTATTTTGTTGCCATTCTTAGAAACTCAGGTAAAGGTTGAAGGATAATTTTGGCCATATTTTAGTCAGTACTTGACCCTGTGAATAAGGTAGCTTTCTGAATTGACCAAATGCCTTGTTTGAGAGATTTTTTTTAATGGTACTATCATGTATAACCCCCTTTTTGTGAAAAAACTAATTTCAATGATTAGTTTTTGCATTTATTTCCCTTTACTTGTTATATATGAACGCTGCTTTTTTCGTAAAAAATGTACGTAAAGTAAACAACATCTTCCAAATCTGGTCAAAGCTGCATGTCTTGCAACTCTGAGAGGATGTGCACTGAGTTTTACACCTTAAGTACTTAGTAGTATTTCAAGAATAATTGTATAATGGTTAAACTGGAGAGGAGAGAGTGGTAGAAAAAGTGGTTTGTAGGGAAATGAACCTTCACATAATGGGTTGTATTCTTTGACCTCTTGTTCGTGTCCACTGGGCCCCTTGCTGTACATTATGTATTTATCTGTGCTCATTAGCCAAACTGACCTTGCTCACAGAGCTCTGTGGTGTTTTTTTTTAAAAATGCGATAACAATTCTCAGACAGCCTTTATCTCGTTTGTTTTCTCTGGACCGAATTATTTATTGAGAAGTTTTCGTAGTACTGTAGCTTTAGGCACTTGCCTCTTCCTGTACTTGTACATTTACTAAAAGATGCATGATGTTGGTGCTGCTCATTTGTTGATTGGTCACCTCAAAACATTAATTTGCTATTGTCAATCTTGATGTGCACCCGAGTGGATTTGCTATCAAAATCTTTGAAGAATTGGCCATTTGTTTGGATTTTGAAAACATGACAATTGTGTGCTTCACAAAAAAATATGATATGGTCTTTGATCAGCCCCACCCAAAGTTACCCTGACTTCTGAGACTTGTATTCTGCAGATATCAGCACCACTTCATTACTTGATGATGTGTAAATAGGTGTGTCATACTTTTTTTTTGTATATTGCAGAGGAGATTTAGTGGAGGTTAACTGACGTCTTCCTCCTCAACTGGCCTCAGAGTAATCTCTGCAAGTTAGGATTTACATGCACTTTGGATAATGAACACTGCTGTGAATACTCTGTGAACTGTTTTCCAGATATGAATTAAGCCTTTTAGACTTAGTTTACAAAGATGGGGTTTAAGCGGTCAAAACAACTCTTAAAGCACTGTAATTGTGCGTAAAAGATCACGTCTTTTTAGCTCTAAAGTAGGTTTAGAAACCAAATATATAAATGTTTGTGCTCATACAGTATGTAAGATGACAGTCAAGAAGTAGAAGGGCAGTCCTCATTATGTCCCTGCCTTTAACGTCCCTTTTTAGAGTAAACCTGAGAATGAAAATTGTTCTCTTTGACAGAGCAGCATGCACACCTTTGTAGAAGCTCAGGAGAACCCCAGCCCTCCTTATTTCCCCGGCTGTAATTTGGACATTTTTCGTAATAATACTGACCACAAACAGGCCATATTACTCCATGAAGGATATAATCATAGACAAAGGATGACAACATCTAACCATTATCTATTTCTATTGCAAAAGTAGACTGTGGAAAAATCCTAGCTGATTAAATGTCCTTTAAGAAAAGGATATTATCACCTAAAATGTACCATTGAGCATGTGGTATTGTTTGATCAATACCTCTCAACAACTTTAAATTGGTACACCAGCTGGTGACAATGTTTTGTAGCCCAAAAAAAGTCCATTGAAGTTTCTTGTATCCCCTATTAGCATCTAGTTCAAATGACAGAGCTTTAAAGCCACTAAAAGTGTAATTCAACATTTCTGTGAACCCAATTGGTTGTATGACCATTTGCTAAGCCCCACCCCCTAATTACTGTTGCTACGCCTGTCAAGCATTCATTTACAGAAAATATGCAGGTTACAATAATACCTGTGTCTGATTTACCAGTCAAAATAAACTTAATTTGAAAACAATGGGTCCTCCATTATGCAGAAAAACCCAATCATATGCTTTAATGCTTTTTTAACGACTATGCTTAACCCCACCAAAGAAAATACTTTTGAAAATAATTACGAGTTTGCTAAAACAAATTATGTCTATAATAACAATTATTATTTTTAAAAGAACCCCTTGAAACTCTTTCATACATTTTTTTGCACATATTAGAGTCCTGTTAACAATGTTTTAGCATGTAGAGAAATCAAAAGCTGGACAGGTTCACTGTGCATAGAGACAGTTGCTAAACTAGGATTGGACAATAGCTGCTCACAGGCGCGGATTAGCAAATGGTCAGTTGGCTAAAAGCAAAACAAAGACATTTTTTATAGAAATCAACATGACTAAGCAGTCTGGTGTTAGATCTGGGACCTGAGGACAGATAGAGGGAAGCTGCCGTTGAACTGATTGTGTGATTACCACCTGTAGCATTTCCAGCCCAGCCCTCCCTTCTTATGACCTCGAGGAAATGAACTCAAAGTGGTCAACTCAACTTCAGCCTTGTGCCTCAGCCAACGGGCCTTACTGCCTTAAAGAAACAGAATGTGTATGTAGGACATTGATAATCATTAATTGAATATCCTGAATCTGTAATAGACTTATTCTGAAGATTGTAGATTGTCCTACAGATTGTGGACCTCTGTTCTAAGTCAGATAACGTCGCAGCTCACTATCAGTACGGCTGAAGAGACTTTCAACTTTGCCTCGAGCTGCAAAGGGGGATGGAATCGCATTTTGACACAATCACACAAGAGGGCAATCGCTATCACACATCGACACGCAGCTGCTCGAGTCATTGTCCCCAGGCGTGTGTTGTCATATCGAGCTCACATATGGTAATACAATATATGGCCGTGTCTGTTAAATATCTACTCATGGGACATAAATGCAGGGTCAAAGGTCATTTGTGCCTTTTATTGCACAGATAACTCCCTCTTAAATGAGTGTAAATGTGTGTACAGTTTTGTTTTTATGATAATGTGCATGTGACCAAGCCATGTAAAATAATAACTGTAAATAATGTAAGTAAATATTTAATGAAGGATCCAACATTCCCTCAAGAAAATAAACAAGTTAAAAACAACTGTCCTTTGTGTTTTCCTGTGTGAAAATGTACTTGTTTTGATTGTAGTTTGGATCAAAAAGATTTTAATTTTTTTAGATTAAAATAGATTTTTACAATTACACTCCTGTGATTTTGAATAAATTAGTTTTTTCCCATTACTTGGATTCTTATTTCCCCAGCTGTTTAAAGCTAACAAAAGTAATCCCGCCTCTGTTTAATGGTTAGACCAAAGCAGCTGAGAAGAAAGACGAGCAGGTTATTGATCATTCAGGCAAACGGGTTGTAAGGGATGAGATGGAGGCATGGGGAGATGTTTTTCATCCTGAGGCATTTCTATCTACTCCAGCGCAGAACAGCAGACTTAAAACTCATACATCTTAATTTCCTTTGCAAACCCTGATCATTAACTCTAGTCGGGCTAAGCTTGTCCCAGCCGCGACGGGAGACACCAGCACTGTGATGTACGACGACCATTAACGGCTCAGAGGAGGCAAAACCCATTTGAAGCTGCCAGTCACCAATAAATACGCATTCATACACACAGCCTGTCACTTCCCAGCTGCGTATGCCCCATCTGCTCTGTCTATATAAAACAAATCCTGAAACACATTTTAATGTCTTCGTCTGTTTCGTTACACTACAACGCTTCAGTAAGTCTGTTCTTGCATGTAGATTCATCAATCTCTGTCATACTCTATCCATCAATCACCCTGTAACTATAACACTCCATCCAAATACCCTGAGAAAATACTTCATGTCCCATCTTGATTATGATAACTAGCAACTAAAATGGTTTTATTTATGTATGAGGGAGGCCAATGTCAGTGGGTATGTACAACACATTCTTGTAGAAGCAAAAATAGGTTGACTAGTGTATTTGTCAATCAACAGAAATAAATTGCTAACTATTTTGAATATTGATTAATCTGTAAAGAAATTGTAATAGTAAAATGGCAGAAAATGCTTTGAGCATCTCAATTATGGATATTTCCTGCTTTTCTCTATTTTAAATCATAGCTACTTTACTATCTTTAGATTTTGAACTGACATTTTGGATAACAAAATATGAATTGATATTAAAAAAATATTTGACGGTTAATTGATGGTGAAAATGATCATTATCATTAATTGCAGCCCTAATTATCACAATCCATAAACAGACATTTCTCGACCAACATTCATGTTCCCCAGATGATAAACTGTTATTATGTTCATGGTCCAATCATCCAGCCCCATCATCAAGTCACCAATTATATTGTTTGAATACTTTACATTCGTTTATTAGCAAAACTGCAAAATCACTGGCGGCATCTGCCTCAGTTGTACTTAACTATTTTGTGAAAGTCAACAAAGCAGTGAGTGGAAGAGGTAAAGCATCAGTGTGAGTGAGTCAACTGTTGCTTATGTCTCATTAAAACTTGAGCACAAGTATATGTAACACAATTACTCTACATAAGTCCTGATCATACTGATACATCAGTTTTTATGTCTCCCAACCATATAGCAGGGAAAGTTACCATCAGGCTGGCAAACTCCATGTAGCATTTAGCAGCTTATCCACAATTTGGTGGAGAGAAGAACCAAAGTAAAATAAGACCAGCTTCTCCTAAAAAATAATGACAGGCCTGTCTGGGGCTATTCTCTGAGAGCCTGGCTTAACACAAGTTATTCCTAAATCATAACAATCGTGACATTTAGTAACACTAAATGCAGGTCATAAACCACAGTTTGCACAACATGACTTTTCTACTCTCATTTAGTGCAACACCATTTGGAACTACTCAAGTGAATAAGCAGTGCTTATACGACTTTCCCTAACCAACTAGAGTGGAAAAGTAATGACTTGTTGCTTTAATAATTTTCTTGTATAACTATTACAATCACAATGATGTAGTGCCCATAAAAAGAACATGACAGAAATAATCCAGTAACAACTTGAGGGTGGTAAATGCATAGCTGTTAAAATGGGTTTCTGTTCATTGGTAAATATAGATCTTGTTTACAATAATGGGAGTGAGATATGATGATGCAAATGAACTTAAATGGGAATACATTTAGTATATTTATAATCAGCAGCAACATAGAAATAAAGTGAAAATATAGAAGGATTGAAATGGATGGATAAACAGCAATAGGACGATTTTCAACTAAGAACACTGGATGGTGAATTCCAAAAATGCTATAAAAATGAGGCAATAAATAAGCAGTGCCGGTTCAGGAGTCGCGTATATTAACATTTTCAAATAATGAAGCATGCAGCGTATCAATGCAAACTGAGACCATAGTGCACGTTTCACAAATCTAAAACTGTGTTATAAAGAATGTTTAGCCTCTCTGGGATAATCCAGTCCAAATACATCGGCTATGCAGCGATTTAAGAGGTTCAAACACGGAGGATTGTTCGCTCTGCGCTGTAAATTAAATGTCCCTTAACTTTCCCCTTAACTGCCGAATCGGAAGCTCTCAATCGGAAGCCAACTTCAGCGTCGTCAGGAACGCTGTGATCCGAAGAGGGTTATTCCATCTTTCTATCCATCACCAATGTCACTCTGTTATCACAATGCTATGCTAATCCAAGCCACTTTCAAATGGCAGCTTAACAAAATGTTTTAAAGAGGATCTATATTCCTGTCTGCAGTCCTAAGGCAACTTTCTAATTTTAACAAAGTCTTCAATGTTATTACCTAATTTGATAAACAGTCATATGATCATAATTACAAAAATACTTTTGTTTTATATTTCTGTAAATATGGTCATATGACTGTATTTTAAAACACAGTGTATTTAAGCTCTTAAAGAAACTATTTGGGCTGGGTGGCGCTCTATAGCTTAGGGCCAATAGGAGACCTCGATGCCTTCTTTCCCCTCCTCCTCATTAGCATTCTGTGCAACTAGTGCGACTAGTGCGCATTTGGGATCCACTAGTGCTACTAGTGAACATTTTGAGCCTCACTAGTTCACTAGTGGAATTTAAATGTACCTCACTAGTTAACTAGTAAAGGGCAAAGGGTTCACTAGTTAACGTGTAGACATTTTGAGCCCCACTAGTTAACTAGTAAGGTCAAAAGAGGCGTTAACTAGTGAACCTTTTGCCTTTACTAGTTAACTAGTGAGCGATTCTGGGTGCTACTAGTTAACTAGTGCAGACAAATGTATGCCACTAGTTAACTAGTTGTGCTTTCTTTTGTGTAACTAGTTAACATGTCAGAGCTTTTGCAGCGCACTAGTTAACTTGTAAGACTTTTAGGGTCACTAGTACGGTCAGAGGGTCACTAGTTCATCAAAAAGCTTACAAGTTGGGACTTTGGTGCTACTAGTGCTGCTCCTGGCATCACTAGTAAGGCTTATGTGCTAACTAGTCGGACAAAAGTGCCACTAGTTGCTGAAAAAGAGTGACTAGTGTAATGTTTTATTTAACTAGTAAAGCAGAGTGCCAAACTAGTTTGAGCATATATCTAACAAGTGAAATCAAAGAGCCAACTAGTGTAGGCAGCTGCCGTCTGATATCAAGGATATGGAATAAATACTCAAATGGCTTGCCATAATCTCCACACAAGATATCCCTGTATTGACTCCACATTCATTAAAAGAAAAATAAGGGAGAACCACTGTGTGAGACTGGAAAACGACTTCATTCCACGTAACCTCAAAGAGGATTTTAATGCTGAGGGAAGTCATGAACATCTTTAATAAAAGAATCCCCACTGTTTCTCAGATACACGCAGCGAGCATCTGCACCGCGAACAAAGCCTCGGACTATCAACTAAATAGCATGGTCTAATCCCATTATACACTCTCTCTTTGAGCCCGACGCACGCACGCACGCACGCGCGCACGCACGCACACATACACAACCAGGTTTAGACACATCAGAGGAACACAGTCATTTCTGAACATGTGTGGATAATTAAAAACACAATGCTGTTAGCAATAATTATGTCTTTTGGATAAAATGTAAAAGAGGGGCTTGTGAAGGTGTACTTATTATTAAATGTATTCAAAAATTGGTCACATTCATGTTAAATTTGGTATGCGTTTTGGTATAATGATGTTACATTTGTATGACTTGTAAAATAATATTTTCACCTTTTGGGTAGTATGTTTATTCCCTTTCTGGCAGAGAATGTAATGTAAAAATGAATACCACTTATATCGGTCCATATGTAACAAGGTCTGCCTACCAGCACCTGTAAAGATCTCTATTGTGCACGTTATATCACTTTTTCTTTATTCTTGGTGTCATTGGTGCCATAAGAATCTCATGATAGACTCCAGGAAGCAGCAAAGAAATAATCCAGCACATAATCATCTGCAAAAGAACAACCTGTTTTTTTTACACCTCAGCTTTTGTACAGTTATGTATTTATTCTTTGAACAAATAAGACATTTGTGAGTTTTCTTGTCACTTTATATTTGCTGGTAGATGGATTTTGTTGAATGGAACTAGGCTAAGTGTTTCCCTCGTTTCAATATTTGTGTTTACTAAATGCATCGTCTACCGGTGTTATCTTTAAATGTACAGAGAAGAGAGTTCTTCACCCTGGAAAGGTAATGCCAAAATAATCTCTAATTTTGGTCAAGAGCTAATGTGCTTATTTGCTTACAGGCCTACATTAAAATCATTCTCTGTGGATGAATTAATATAGAGACCCATCTGGGTGAATATATTCTTTATTGATAATGGGTTTCGTCATTTAGTACTCTTGTTAGTCAGTTTCTCCGTTATGTATCAGGCTGATCCTTCCATAAACCCCATTGCTGCGTAAGCACAGAGTGAGTCACTTCCTCTGCAGAAGAGAGCTGAATGTTCCTGATAAAGTACCTTCTCACAGATGTTTACAACTAAAGATGAGAAAAAAAACAGTATCGCATGGTTGAACAACTAATTCATTTATTCTTATAAAACAGTTTCACCTTGAATTCTTATTCTTTACATATATTATGTTCTTCTTTTGCAAGCAATGGTATCTACTGTCTCTTTTTCTCCATTCAGTATTTGTTTCATTTCCTCACTTTGT